TGTTGTTAGAAATTTCAAATTTGAAGCTTTTAACCCACATTGGCCTTTGACTCACGACTTGCACTTAAAGCTGACCACTGACCTCATTATTGTTATTGAGAAAAATATTTGCACTTCTGGTCTACATAACATACCCAAGTATCATGGCTCTAGTCCAAACGGTTCTTAGGATATTGTTGTTTGAAATTTTTAACATTTGACCCTGTGACCTTGAAAGTAGGAAAAGGTAATTTTAATGAGGAAACATAATAGCACTCCATCCCAGGTACATACTGGCAAAATATCATGACCCTGGGCCTTATGGAACTTGAGGAGAAGATTGTTAAAAGAGTTTAACCCATGTTGACATTTGCTCCTTACTAGCACTTAAAGTTGACCTTTGAACTCATTACTGTAAATGATAAAAATATTCGCACTTCTGGTCTACACAACATGCCCAAGTATCATGACTCTAGTCCTAACGGTTCTTAGGATATATTTGTTAGAATTTTTTTAACAAATTTGACCCCTGTGACCTTGAAAGTAGGTCAAGGTAATTTTAATGAGGAAACTTAATAGCACTCCATCCCAGGTTCCTACTGGCTAAATATGACCCTGGGCCTTATGGAACTTGAGAAGAAGATTGTTAAAAGAGTTTAACCCATGTCGACATTTGCCCCTTACTAGCACTTAAAGTTGACCTTTGAACTCATTACTGTAAATGATAAAAATATTCGCACTGCCGGTCTTCACAACATGCCAAAGTATCATGACTCTAGTCCGAACGGTTCTTAGGATATTGTTGTTTGAATTTTTTAACATATTTGATCCCTGTGACCTTGGAAGTAGGTCAAGGTAATTTTAATGAGGAAACTTAATAGCACTCCATCCCAGGTACCTACTGGCCAAATATCATGACCCTGGGCCTTATGGAACTTGAGAAGAAGATTGTTAAAGTTTTTAATACGTTGACCTTTGACCCCTGCCTAGCACTTAAAGTTGACCTTTGACCTCATTTCTGTAATTGAGAAAAATATTCGCACCGCTGGTCTACATAACATACACAAGTATCATGAGACTAGTCCAAACAGTTCTTAGCATATTGCTGTTTGAATTTTTTAACATATTTGACCCCTGTGACCTTGGAAGTAGGTCAAAGTAATTTTAATGAGCGAGCTTAATACATGTAGCACTCCATCCCAGGTACCTACTGGCCAAATATAATGACCCTTGGCCTTATGGAACTTGAGAAGATTGTTAAAAGTGTTTAACCCATGTTGACATTTAACCCCTGACTAGCACTTAAAGTTGACCTTTGACCTCATTCCTGTAATTGAGAAAATGATTTGCACTGCTGGTCTACATAAAATACCCAACTATCATGACTCTGGTTATTAGGATATTGTTGTTTGAAGTTTTTAACATATTTGACCCCTGTGAAAAGGAAACTTTATAGCACTCCATCTCAGGTACCTACTGGCCAAATATAATGACCTGGACCCTAGGTCCTCCAGTTCTTCAGAAGAAGTCGTTCAAAAGAAAAAGTTGACGGACCGACGACGCAGTACGGCATAAGCTCACTTGGCCCTTTGGGCCAGGTGAGCTAAGAATCACATTTCAGGACCCGACTCTCATTAATGTGCAGAGTAATTCCCTTTCTGCATAGGCCTATGGTATATAGTATTACCAAATTTCTAAGGTGCAATCACCTGGTATGTCTTACGTTCACATTATCCGGGGAACAAGCTTACTCAACATTATTTTGATATCCTGGTTGCCTTAAGGATGATAACTCATTGTAAATTTCATTGTACAGTTGTGGGATCGCACAACTTTACACGATGTGCGGTGTGCGAACAATAAAAAATTGGACGATCAGTCCTTGCGTACATTTGTGCTGGCGATCGACGAACGTTGGGCGATAACAATCGTGGTTGGTGTAAATTAAGGAATAGCTTGACAATATATACGGTTTCGTTTAAAATCAGATTTTTTTGTATGTTTCTATACTCTAGCTACATCTATAAGCTTATCTTTCTGTCTATACTTTCTTAAATGAGAAAAGGTGTTTTATGGGTTTTTTAAACGACCTTAATCGACAGGTGTACATTTACAACACAGTCTCGGCTACACAGGTAAACATTGCCACTTTGTACTTGGACCGTAGTTTATCCCGCCCGGGGCACTTACGTAACTCGCCAAGGCCAAAACGAATGCAAATAACAAATATTAAACGTCCAGTTGAGTTTTCATAACGGTCATACGGTATCATATATCAGCTCTATGTGTCAAGTACAGGCCAGGTAAAACTCCGGTCACTCATCAAATTGTTATTTACCTGTTCTGTTACCGAGGAGCCAAACCCATTCTTGACAGTCTAACGGTCACTGCATACTGTATTACACGCATTGTAAAGTTGTACATACTCTTAATTATAGCAGAGACGTATACGTCTCTGATTATAGTGATGCGAAATTACAGTGATATATACAGTGTACATTATTGCATACGAGGATTCCGTATTTTTTCCATTCCGTAATATTGATCAACAAATTGTACCATATCGCACAGATGTGCGGAGAGAAGCACACAATGGGGCGAACGATTGTTAAATCGCACAGTTGTGCGCACCATGTGTGGACGATGTGCGGACGGTGGGTGAATGATGTATGCACGGTGTGCGCACTGTATTTTTGGTGCGTTGTGCGTTCCCACAAATGTATTACAATAAACAGGTCAAGAAAATTAGCCTTTGAATAATTTAACAAGGTTGAAATTTTCAGTTTCCTCTTTTGGGCATTGCCACTCCGACCCAGGGATAGCTACTCTTCCTAAATACCATAATTGATTTCAATGACAAAGTCTGCTTCAAAAACAAAATTTGATATGGTTTGCTAAGTACCGTATATGTATATGGTTATAAGGCCTAGCTTATGACCATAAGACCCCTGTATCAATCCAGATAGCTTGAGTGCACTTACGTCTTCATGCTTAGTATTTTCTTTTATAAAAGGCGTGGATCTCAACCATTTCCACGGAAGGGCTAGTGTACCAGTTCAGAGGTGTCAGGGCGAACCCCGAGGCCAATCTTGGTAACATAAATGTACATTGTATTTGTCTTTTTCTTCTGATCATTTGTATTGATGGCTTATAGGGCGACATATCTCAACTGCTTACATGCTTTGACCCAGTAACTATGTCACCTGGGGCGAGGCTGATACAGTGACAAAGCCTGGCAGCATTATGGTGTTTGTCTCTTCGTGCACAAAAAATTGCTTTATGTTACCGAGTGTAACTATACTGTTTCTACTTTCAATATAATAATTTGATGTCACAAATAATTTTGAGGTTATCTTCCCCGAGATTTTGTACATTAAAAACTCAGATGAAGACACAATTTCATTGGATTTATCTCCCCTGCTTTCAGAATATGTTATATATGTTGTTCATTATTGTGGTTTACAGTTGAATGTAACACACAGGTGATTGGGCCTTTTAAGTTTGGTAATAGGAACAGTATGGTAATAGGTACAGTATGGTAATAGAGTATGGTAATAGGTATTAGGTACAGTATGGTAATAGGTACAGTATGGTAATACCGTAGATACAGTATGGTAATAGGTACGGTATGGTAATAGGTACTAGGTACAGTATGGTAATAGGTACAGTATGGTAGGTACAGTATGGGAATAGAGAATGGTAATAGGTACTAGGTACACTGTAACAGTATGGTAATACGTACACTGTAACAGTATGGTAATAGGTTCACTGTAACAGTATGGTAATAGGTACACTGTAACAGTATGGTAATAGGTTCACTGTAACAGTATGGTAATAGGTACACTGTAACAGTATGGTAATACGTACACTGTAACAGTATGGTAATAGGTACAGTATGGTGATAGGTACTAGGTACACTGTAACAGTATGGTAATAGGTACACTGTAACAGTATGGTAATAGGTACAGTATGGTGATATGTACAGTATGGTAATAGGTACAGTATGGTAATAGTTACAGTATGGTAATAGGTACAGTATGCAAAACATAAATTACACTACATCATACAGCTGTTCCTTCCATCTTGGACTCATTGGTGATGCTAGGGACCAAAAAATTAAAAACCCAAACTGGTCTAAAACTACTGTTGAAATAAAAGGGGAGGTGTGTAAAACATGTTAATTTATAAATTTCAAATTTCAGAGGTGTACTGGCTAACTACAAATTGAATCATTTGTATTGTGTATATATTATGAGCCATGCCAATAATGTAATGTAGACAAACTGTTCATTTTGATGGAGGATCCTAAGCAGACATGGCAGGAAACTCTCTGGTATTCTACTGAAGTTGGATGTATGAAGATAATACATAAAGGCTGGAGGCTGCCAATGCCATTTAGAGACATAACATGACACTAAATTAACTTAATACTAAATACATACACGTTGAGTTAGAAATTTAACTTTAGCCCCGACAGCCGACACTTGCAAATATGAATGTGTACATCAAATTTGGAAAACAAGTCAGATTAATATTGTTTTTTGCATGGAAACCAATTAACAGATCAAAAGTGGGTAGTATCACTAATCAAGCATAAACATGCAGACCGAAATTGGACGAAATTGAACCATCATTAGAGGAATTGTTGCAAGGACATCACCCCTGACAGACAGACATACTGGCAGACTGATGCACCCAAATTAGCACCCCCCTGTCTTTGTCAGAAAGCAGGGGATCGTTTTTTTTAATCTTGTTTGCAGATGAATTTCTTGATACTTTTATTTATCTACCTGTGGTATGTATCTACCACAAAAATTACACAGGAAAAGAAAATATAAAATACCTTTGTGTGGTGTTTAAGTGACTACTAAATTAGTCTAAATCTTTTCTCTCTAACCTACAGTTTTTTTTCTGAACTGGACTCCCTTAAGGCCACTGACCATATTAACATATTTACGTGAAAATGCTCTAAATGACCTTATTCTGTTGATAGGTTGTTTAACAATAAACAAACACAGCAATAGGAAAACAAAAGATTTTTTTTTATTCCAATCAGCCCCATTCCATGTCATTTTTGCTATCCCCTACACTTGGATTATTTTTAGTAATTAATTTCAATGTTTTCCTTTTCACTGTGACAATCCTCTCCATTTATAATTTTCTTGATTCCTTTATTACATTGTTTCTCTGTTCCTTTAGCTATTCCCTACAGTTTGAATTTCTTGGCTGATCGGCCGTCATCTTTGCCAGGTTTCCGTTTCTGAGAGGTCTTACTACGGATTTGAGTGGTCACCTCCTCCTGGAGTTGGGTGAAAAATGTCTTTGAAGAGGTCAGGTTTGCACCCTTCTTCTGCTGGTTTTCCTGTAAATAATTTCAAACATTTTAAAGATAGCTTACAGAATTGTGTTGTTCCAATAGATACAGTACAAATACTGTAGTTAGGCATTAGTCCATAGAATGCATACTTGCCAACTTTAGAAACTTTTGATGGAGATAATCTGTCAAGAGATAATCTGTAGGACAAAATTGAAAACTCATGCCTGCCATGTAATCTGTATTTGTGCAGGTCAACCTGCTAATACTGTAAACGTACATATTTTAGCCACAGTCTTATTATTGTGCTGAATTAGGTATTCTTGTATATTTAGTACTATTTTATATTTTTGGGGTGCGCTAATTCATCCATGCACTTATGTTAATATATGATCATCCAAAATCGCTAAAATTTGAGTATGCTTTTCAGTATTTTGGAATGTACTCCTCTTGCACTGCTTATTCAACATTGAACATGTTTTAAGTAACATTTTAAAACAAATGTTAGGACTGGTTTAATTGCCATACTACTTTGAAAAGTTTACATACAGAAATGACCTGCCATAAGTAGGCTTGAACTGCATTTTGACCATCTATAACCCTCAGTTCATTGTGGAGGATTTTGCAGGTGTGAAAGTATAAAAATATCTGAAAAGTTTTATACAATAACCCTTATCTGAGTAAATAATAGTGTAAAGTAGCAATGTTAAAGCCACTGGAAGGGATTAACAATAAGAGGCCCAGCGGGCCTGTATCGCTCACCTGAATATTTAAGCAGTCATAGCAAAATATTTTCATTAAATATTATATTGAACTACAAATATTTCCCTCGCAAACTTTGTCGGATCCATCTGTTGAAACTACCAGCCAAATAATATTATAAGATTTTATGCTTTTTAGTTTTTCTTTAGAAGTTGTTAGACATATTTTTTCTGTGACCTTGTAATTAGGTCAATGTAATTTTCCTTCTCAAACTTTGTTAGCTCTATCCCAAAAGGCTACCAGCCAAATATTATGAATCCATTCCTTTTGGTTCTTCAGAACAAATTGTTTGAAATGTTGTTGACCTCCGTGACCTTTAAAGTAAGTTGAGGTCATTTTCATTTGCAATCTTTGGTGAGCTCTATCCCAGGAAGCCACCAGCCAAATATTATAATTTGTTATGCCTTTCAATTATTCAGAAGAAGTCGTTTGATGTTTTTGACATATTTGACACCTGTGACCTTGAAAGTAAGTCAAAGTCATTTTCATTCTAAAACTTTGTCGGCCCTATCTCAGGAAGCCAACAGCCAAATATGAAGGTTCTGTACCTTTTAATTCTTCAGAAGTCGTTTAAAGAGTTTGACATATTTGACCGCTGTGACCTTGAAAGTAAGTCAATGTCATTTTCATTCTCAAACTTTGTTTGGCTCTTTCCCAGGAAGCCACCTTTGGGCCAGGTGAGCTAAAAATAACTGAATTCAAGCACAAAGTGTGATGTAAGGAATTATGATGATTTCCAAATTAAAGAACGAAGGTGAAAAATTGTGGATCCCCTCTATTTCCAAACTTCCTAAAAGATATTAAAATTTAATAGGAGCTGTTTTGGGGTACAGCATAGCTGGGCTTTTCATGACATACTTCAGGGGTGAATGAGTTAAGTTAGTTAATGTCAGGTTAAATGTAAAACAGATAGAACAATTTTAAATTCAAAATACTTTTCTGTTTTCACTGCACTTAATCAGTTTCAAACCCGTAAGGAACCTCCACCCTGAATTTTGTTTGTTTGTTTGTTTGATTTTGTTTAACGTCCTATTAACAGCTAAGGTCATTTAAGGACGGCCTCCCCTGTGTGCAAGATGCATGCGTGTAGTGTATGTGTGTGTATTTTGGGAGGCTGCGATATGTTCGTGTTTGTCTTCTTGTAATAGCGCGGAACTGATGCCGACTTTATAGTGCTACCTCACTGAAACATACTGCCGAAGACACCCAGCAGGACGCCCCACCCGGTCACATTATACTGACAACGGGCGAACCAGTCGTCCCACTCCTAATTTGCTGAGCGTTAAGCAGGAGTAGAAACTGCCATTTTTAAAGACTTTGGTATGTCTCGGCCAGGGGACAGAACCCAAAGCCTTCCTCACAGGGGCGAACGCTCAACAAATGGCCAAAAGTGAGGCATTGTCAAGGGAGACATTAGGAAGAAGAAAGTTATTTAGAAAGGAGAGAAGAGATAAGGTCCCAAATTTAGTCGCCTCTTACGATCATGCAATTGGGGGCAGCAGGTACAATTCTTACGCCCTACCTGCAGGGTCACCCTGAATATCAGCATCTTTGTACAACTATTTAAAGTAACATTAGTGACTTTCAACACTTTCATCTCAACCTTAGGCAATGCAAAAACTGTTACCAATGCCAATGAGGTATACCTACGATGGCTCCCACCCTCCACTTTGTTCTTCAAATAGCCAAGCTAATAATTATAGATTATCACACTGTTTTTTCAGGGTTTGTCGTGAGAACAATTTTCTCCGCAGGTGGACTCTACGTGCGAGGGATGAGAAAATTGTTCGAAGAACAAACACTGAAAATACAGTATGATAAACTATTTATCATCTATATACTACTACCTTATACATTACTCCATTTAAAAACCTCAACTAAACACCATGTTTTGTAAAAGACTTCTAAGCTCAATGGCCAACGATCGCCTGTGACAAACGTTAACAAATAGAACATTTGCGCGGAGGAATACAATGAACCTTAAAGCTACATAGAAAAAATATTTTTAAAACAATCCTATCGTCATTGGCTTTTCTATATGCACATTTACACCTGAAATGGTGTTGTTATTCCTCGCAATATTTTTCTGTAACTTTGTATTGATATGTTTGACAGGCTATTTTCTTACGCGGATCACTTTTGTGTGGACACTATTTCAGGTCTCGGACGTCATCTGGTGCGAGCAGACGTTCTTTTTTGAGAAAATACGTACCCAAGTGCTGGGGAATTGGAAAATCCGTTCTCAAGTTGTTATCAAGTTGTTCTCAAGTCTTTCTTAATTTTTTCTCATACTGACAATCAATGAAAAGGAAGTTATCATGCTACCGGTAGGTGGTATAAAGTAGTATATATAGATGGTAATGAATTTTATCGTACTATAATTGTGATTTTCAAAACAAATTGTTTGATAGCCTCCCTGAGTTATCAGGCGATTGAATACCTTGAGGATAGTCAGCCCTCCACCAGACTTGCTCTGTTTCTCCAAGCCTTTAAGGGCTTTCTTCTTTCCTGCCTTTTTCCCAATTCCAGGGTGGGTCTTCTCTAACAAAGCTTGCCTCTTTTCTATTTCTGCATTCTTTTTCTTTTTATCTGTTTTCTTCTTCCTGCGGTCTCTCTTGCGATCAGTAACAGATTTTTCTGTCTTGGCCATTAGTTCTCCCTTAGTTTTGTCCTGCAAAGGTAGTATGGCATAGTTGTTCAATAAACATTCTGTATATAAATCTGTAACCTTATCAATTCAAGTGAGGGTAAAAGAGGATCAATATCATCACATTAAAATGATATCAAATAGCTCATTGAGATTGTATCACTCAACTGTTTCATTGATTACTTTAACCAGACCAAGAGGGAAATTTAATGCCATTGTGACAATCTCACATTTTTCTGTTAACACAAATAATTTAAAAAAAATAAAATTGGTCAGGGATGTATTTACATGTAGAAACATTTAAACAAGATTTCATTAAAATTGATCTGTTGGAATTGAGAATAGGTTGAAATGTCTCGGCCAAGCAGATGACAGGGTGTCCATTTAGACAGCACCTGTTTAGGACTGTCGCAATATTGCAATTTATCATGATATATTGAATTCCTAGAAATTTACAAAGTTTGAAATTGTTTTCTATAGAATAAATGAAAACTGTAATTCATCACACCAAGCAAGCTCAACTTTGATAACATCAATCCAATCTCGACATTATTTTGCCAAAGCCATTAGTTTTAAAAACTGGTTTTAATATTGCCATTTCAAAATCATATTGAAGTTTATATATAATCAATAGATATTGCAATATATTGGTGATTGCAACACACCCCTACCAATAACACTGTAAAGGAACAGTTGACACCAGACACAAGCTGCATGTGTACCAAACAACAGACACAGCGTCATAGGCCCACTTGGCCTTTTGAGCCAAATGAGCTGATACCTCTACCTGTTCCAAAATATGTATCAACAGTGTAATCAAGTTTATAAAGTTTATTTTTAAATCTTCACCAAATATTCAGAAACACACACTTGTGATGGAGAATACAAGAATAATGCTAGCCAAATATGTCTTGATATATGTATGTAACAGAGGTCATTGTTTTTTCAATGCCTCCGCCAGGAGTCGAACCCGGGACCTCTGGTTTACTAGTCTGACGCTCTACCAAATGAGCTAAAGAGAATTTTTTCCTAGCCAAGTTGGTAGGAAGCGGCTAGTATTTTACCAGGGTGACATGTATCAAATATACTTCCTGACATATGTATCAAATACATCCTGACATATGTATCAAATACATCCTGACACATGTATCAAATACACCCTGACACATGTATCAAATACATCCTGACACATGTAAGTACCTGAACTTCTTCAGGAGCCAGCATCTTGGAGTCGCTAACACTGACAGGTGCTACTTCCTCTATTTGTATGGATGGCAGATTTGATACAATCTTCATTTCGGGAGCCGCCTGAAACACAGAGTTTTTAAATATGTATTTAAATTTGAAAAGGCAAGTCCACAACACAATGCTCAGACCTCCCCAGAAGTATTGTAGTGCTAGGCACACAGATAATAATCCGGGGTTGCATCTTTCTTCAGGCACATAGAGATGTTATAGTCAACACTTCATTTCATTTGTTCATCAACGCATAATGATGACTTAGTGTATCAACTATGTATTATATACACTACTCAGTGTTGTTATTGCTACACAAGGCGTTAAATTCAATATTTGCAGATAAAAGCTACATTGGATATAAATGATTGGAGAGCACATTGCATATAGCGTTGAGTAAATGGTTTACCACTATGACAAAGAGACTACCAATTCTTAATTTTGCCATAAACCCAACTTCTTCCTACCATGATATATCAACTAGTAACCCTACAAAGTGGATGATTTATCAGTACATGTATTATTATGTGAAAGGATTTAACGAAGATCCTACCGGCTTTGGTGTGTAGTGGAAATTTGAGAGGGCATCTAGCTTAACAAATAATGTCTGCATCATCTTCTTTATTTCCTCATGGTCAGGATCTGTCTTCTCCTCTTCTTCCTCTTTCTACGTAAAAGAAAATTATATATAAAGGATCGTAAATGAGTTTCCATTTCATATGTGATTTATGAAAAGAGTCTAAGATTTTTTTCAATTTAGCGAGCCTTTAATTTGGCGAGCTAAAATGAAACATTTGTGACTAGTTTCATGAATTTCATATGAAATGAAAACGAGTGTACAGGTAAGATACTTTTTATCACATAATCAAGATTTGTGACATTTATATGTGTAAAACGACAATTTTAAAATTGTAAAAAGCTGCCATTTTGACTCCAGTGCACAAGTCTGTGACATCATGTACTTGTCCTAAGCGTGATGTCATAATTGAAACAATTGAAACTTAAAACCAATCACAGGGCTGATAGGTCATATTACATGGGTTAATCACAAATATTTACAAACAAATAATTACCAGTATATTCTTCTTTAAATGAAACAAAATGCAAAAAAACACAAATTGCTATGTCAGAGCATTTGAAATACTCTGCAAACCAAGACCTACTGTTTGCATGGTTGTTTAAAGATACTTTAGGCTCTTTACCTGTTGTTTTAGATACTCCTGCTCATAAATTTCTCCAAGACTCTGCTTGCCTTTCTCCTGGTTTAGAACTATCCGCTTTTTGTACTCATAGGGGTCCTCCTTTGGCTTGATTTTGCGTTCCACATCATCATATGCCTGTAAACAGTACATTGTAATATTGTCAGGTATATCTCATAATTTGTTGATAAATTTAAACTATAATTAATTGATTCCTTTCTTGTGACTTTTGCCCAGGTACAACTCTTTGTGGGAAGCACAGAAAATCTGACTCTTAACATTTGGCGTATATTTTTGATTTGATCTTTTAGCTGTTGTGGTGGTTAAACAAGAGGCCCAATGGGCCTGCATTGCTCACCTGGTATTAATCTCACACTTGTAATCTTAAAAGTGGACTAAAATACAGCTACAGGCAGAATATCAGTGTTTGATTCATAAGAACCTATTAAAAGATTTAAACATATGACGCCTGTGACCTTGAATGTCGAACAAGGACATTAGGTTGAACGGAGTTTATAGTCTTCCAACCCAGCATGCTTCTGGCAAAATATCATTACCCTGGACCTTTTGGTTATACAGAACAAATCATTTAAAGATTTAAACATATATTGACCACTGTGACCTTGAATATGGGCGAAGGTCATTCACTTGGTAGTCTTTCATCCCAGCATGTAAATGGCCAAATATCATCACCATTGGCCTTTTGCTTATTAAGAAGAAGTCAGGCAGGTGAGCTAAAAAACTTCTTGTAAGGTCTGAAATGTTTATACTGATTTAACATCAGTTGAGACCAAATTCAAGATAATCTGTCAAAATAAGTAATTTGGAAAACTTAAAATATGCAATCTGACAGAATTAAGTTATATGTTTAAAGAACAAATCTGTTTTGAGAAATGCTCTTGAAATTTAAACATGCAACACATGTTTTGGACACCATTTCCATGACAACAAAGATTTTTTGGAAATCTGTATTAAAGGTAAAAACACCAAAAGACTGCCTGTGTAGTGTTCATTTCAATCAGCATGTATGGAATCAATATGTGTACCTTCAGGGATTAATTAATGCAGGAATAGAAAGTAATTACCCTTTTGGGGGAAATCTGCACTTTAGGTGCATGACCAGTGTCCAGGGATGGCAGCAGGCCAGAGCCATGGGGAGAATACAAGAGGGTGGTTTAGATCATCGTTAATTTTTGCTTCTCGCAGTTCATTACAGTCAGATGCTTCAAATTAACCACCTGATATGCATTAGGACAAAGCATTTGTGTGACTATTATGATATTGTTTACCGTACACAGGGATAGCTGTAAACAGTGTCGTAAAATATCATCAGTGACAATTAACATGAGCACAGGAAAAATGCAATAATTAGTTGCAAGTAGGGGAATTTAAACTGAAACAGGGAAAAGTAAAGCTGAAACAGGGGAAAATGATGCCAAAATTGGGGATGGGAATTAGCCAATATTTGGCCATAAAAATGGCCTGTATATATCCATGACCTTCTGCAACGGTCGTCGAGTGAGGATCATTATTACTCAAGATATTGAACTGACACTGTGCACCAAAAACAATAAAGGGCATTTTATAAGAGGATTGGAAAATATTGAATATCATTGAACCCTGCCATCATAAGGTCATCAATAATGTCATGACCTCTGACCTCTTTAACCTTACCTTGTCTTTTACCCTCTGTATAATGATGTCCTCCAATTTCTTAGTGGTTTCTTGGGTAACCACTGGTGCTAAAAATAAAAATACACAATAAACATATAATGGTTCTTGATTTCAACATTAAAATTATCCCAAAGGCACAAAAATATTGGTACGGATATTGAATGTTAAGCAAAAACATAAAATGCCTTCCATTATTTAGGCTACACTACAAGTGAAAGCTATGTTTACCAGAATTTTCTCTACATACATAGTCAGTCTAGGAGAACTGAGAAGCGACGTTAATGGTATCTAATGATCAATTCAATAAAATATGTACTGCTGTTATTTCCAAAGTAAAACCAAACTTTAATGAAAAATGTTTGTAACTAACCCAAGATTTTCAGACATGTAAGAGGAAACAAATATTGCATGATTTTTTTTGTTTGGCGAAACCCTTTTTTACAGTCATTTATTCCATTTCTACATGTTAACAGTAACTGAATTCTCTAGATTGATTTAATCAGCAATTAAAATCAATTTACAACATAGTAAAAATAAGCAATCACGAAAAAAGGAATGTAAATAATCCATATAATGACACAGAAACTGTATGAAATGAACTTTTTTTCATTTAGTTTCCCCTTCACATATTAAATGTACAAGCCCAGTCAACAATATTATACTGTTTCACCCCCTGCCTATAACTCATTTCAAATTGTACAGGGTTTACTATGAAATTCAAAGCTTTTTATGGCCTTTTTAGGGCCTTTTATGGATTTTAAGGAAATTAAGGCCTTAAATCTCCTGCCATTTGCAAATCCAAAAACAAATCAGAGATCTGGATGTTTAGCCAGGGCGTCTCTAAGCTTACCATATAGACATCTCACAACCCTAAAATCTAAAACTGGTTGGTTATTCCGAAAAGGAGAAATTAACTCATAACATTTCATTTCTTGTATTTTCTGATTTTTTTATGAGAAAACAACAAACCACTCAAATGGATATCCAGTCATAGTTTAATGACAATAATATAAATTAGTCTAATTCAATGCTTACTTTCAAGACATTTTGATTATTTTTTCTAGGGCTTTTATGACCTTTTCATCAATTTTTGACTTTTCAAGACCAATCCATGGTTTTAAGGGTATCTTCAAGGCCTGTACAAACCCTGTTGTACAACTGATCTAAAATCTCAATGGCATTTTAAACTGATTTAAAAACATAGGAATAGAATGTAGAATAGTAAATAGTTGTCTCCCTTACCAAGTTTGGTTGTGTGTTCAAATGCAAGATGTTCTTCCAGCAGACTGTTTTCTGGTCGGTTGGTCGACATGACCTCTCCCTTCAGCTGCCAGGCCTTCTGGTCTAAACTAGCATCCTCCATCTGGCAGATCTTTTGCTTGAGCTGGGGAAGGATAAGCAATTCAAAGTCTGTACCTCAATTTATACTTAAAACAGTGAAGAAGAGCAAGTAAGTACAAAATTGTAACATTTATAAGGACTAGAAAAATCAACTTCACAAAAATCAGTCAGGAAGGTAACAATCATTACTTTGGACAATATGTAATGGAAATCAGAAAAGGAAAATTCATGCTTAGCTTTCATTTCCTTTTTTTCCATAAATTTTAACAATACCTTTTCTTGTCGTTTCTCAAAAGATGATTTGTTGTCTTTCTGCTTTCCTCCAAGGATGTCTTCAACAGCCTCCCCTTCCTCACTGTCACTACCCCCTAGAAGGTCACGACCCCTAGATCCTTCTGTTATCTCCTCCTCCTCCTCCTCCTCATCATCATCATCACTAGCAATCATTAAATGTTTAACAATGTACATTTCATTACATCAATGCACTTGATGATAAAAAACAAGTGGTTTTATTGAAGTCACCATTATTTTTATAACTGTCATAATGTACTATTCCTGGAAATACTGCAAATGATTGTGAACTGGCAATTACACAAAATAATGAAAAGGTTACCTTAAGTAAACCTGGTAATGATTCAATGTATTTTTTAGTTAAATATTCTCCCATAGGTATACTGAATGTTAAGTAAGCATTATTATGTGCTGTAACATTAGGGTTATAGTTGTCTCTTTTTTTTGGGGGGGGGGGGGGGGGGGGTGTCAATTTATGGCGTATCAGGAGAAACATTGTCCCTATTTGCGGAATCCAATGGAAGCTATACATATTTTCTCTGCAGCAGCACCCTTGGATTTTCTCGTATCAGAATAAAGCAGTCTTGGTTAGCTACTTTAGTGGTTCCAGACACCAAGATGTGACCAATCACAATGCTGATAAACAGATGTCAATTGAAAATCATCAAAGAGCTACTTTGAGATTAAAACCCGTCAATTTTAACATTATGCTGCCACGTTTCAATTCACTTTTAATTTGAATGATAATCTGAGATCAGAGGTAGCAGGATCATGCAACAGCTTCTAGACTTGTCAACTTATATCATCCACATAGGGGTACATACAGGGACTTTGATTCTGTCATGAGAAAATCCAAAGTGTACAGGGTATATATATGTAATATCAAAAGATGAACCCTCAGAGTGTTTTTAAATAACACAATGACATGCACACATTCTTGCATTGGTCTATAAAACATGATTTACCAATAAGCAGAAGTGGTAGAATCTGAAATAACAAACAATCAAAATGATTGTGTATTGGGCAGCCATTCTTTAGTGGAGTGATACGGCAACGACTAGATAATGGAAATATACACGGGATTTTTGTGATTATGTGTATTTAAGTGTTAACATCAGGCTTATCAATCACTTACTCTTCCATGTCATCTTCCTCATTATCACTTAAATCATCGTCTTCTTCATCATCATTAACATCCTCCTCTGTCTCTGTAAACTGGACCCTTTTCTTTCTATTAGAGTTATCATCCCCTGCTTCCTCTGGCGGATCAAAGAAGTCCTGGTATCTAGCCGTTCTACCACCAGTCTGTGATAACAGCAAGGATCAATTAGTATTATAATAAAGAAACATATAGGTTACAATGCCTATATATAGCTAACATATATAGGAAGTGTATCCCTTAGCTGGATCAATAGACAATTAGCCAACAAGATAGCACCAACAGTAAAAGGCAACCATTACAACACCAATGCTACCTTTATTAGGCAAAAATATATATAAAAATGTCTGTTTAGGGTTCCCGACCGCCCTAGCTTTTTACCCACGACCCAAAACTTTTTGATGAAAAAAGAAATTACAAAAATTAAATTAAAAAACCGCTGATTTTCGAATTTTAGAAGGTTCCTTGCCTTTCGAAATGGCTTCCAGTTCCGTGTTGGCGCTAAATGTCAGCATATGGAGCACAATTTGCCTCCAAATGAACCTTGTTTATGTAATTCTTTGTTTTACATACAATAGTAGGGTCATAGTCACATGACACGGTACACACAAATATACAAAAAACAAACGACAAAAAACAAATTGGCCTACCTACCCTTGTAAAAGCCCATGCAACCCTAAACAGACAAAAAAATTTTTGGCCTAAGGAGGACTCAAGGTTGTAGAAGTAAGAAACAGTGATATTTACCAGCAAGGCAATATTTTATGAAGATTCTGAGTTTTAGGCTAGGGCAGAGCATATTAAGACAAAAAATTGACTTCCTTGAAAAATGTGTTGCCATCGATATGTACCAGTACAGGTATACATATATTACATATCAAATGTAATGTAACATCTACTGTTGATCCAGAGGTTTGATATAGGAATTTTGTGTTGTTCTTTGCTGTAACGTATTATTACAACAGTACATGATTGGATCAGGTAACTCATCCTCCTGGCCCACCAGAGCTATACGCTTCCTTTACCCCTATGATCCTCCTGGCCTACCAGAGCTATACGCTTCCTTTACCCCTATGATCCTCCTGGCCTACCAGAGCTATACGCTTCCTTTACCCCTATGATCCTCCTGGCCTACCAGAGCTATACGCTTCCTTTACCCCTATCATCCTCCTGGCCCACCAGAGCTATACGCTTCCTTTACCCCTAATTGCCTAACTGGCTAACACCTGAATCACAAATTCACTTTCTCATTATAACGTGACCTTCTCTGTCAGACAGTAAATTTCTTGACAAATTCATAAAGCATCTCTAAAACATCAATTAAAAGCATTTTATAAGTACATGTATAAATACATAAATAGTACAGGACATATGCCCAAGACAATGTGTGGCGGCTATAGGACCCCAGAAAAGAACAGACTGAATGACATCAACAAGGTGCAAGTTTTTAGTTTCCCCTGATACTAGCATTGGTTTAAGACTTTTTCAGGCTTTTTATAATGCCACTTAGAAAAAAAATGTATCCTTAGATATTGTATGCAATACTTGAATATTGTTAATTCTGTAGAACATGTTAGCTGAAACTTAAGTGGAAACATAATCGATGAAAAATATTGACACATTAAATATCCCCTTCAATAGCCTCCTGCATTTTCCTGAACTAGATCAATGGTCATACCGCCATTACCTCCCTTCCTTCACAAATATTTTAATTGATCCATGCTTTCTCTTTTCCTCTGATAAATTCATTCCCCCCTCCCCTATCTTATAACAGATCTATACCTCCCCTTCACCTGTAACAATTCCATACCTCCGATTCTTCGTTATCCGAGGGAAATGCCTCAAACATGTTAATATCTTCATCATCCTCAGATTCAGATTCCTCCTCCTCACCGTGTTGTGAATCTGCCTTCTTCCGTTCCCTTTCTTCCCGAGCATCCTCTTGATCTAAAAATGTTGCCATATCTGCTAATTTGAAGAATTTGTCATCAACTACACTGCCCTTTGACCGACTAGGTTTGGGTTTTTGTTTTTGTGACATTTGGTCCTTTTTATCAGAAATGTCTTCATCGCTAATTGGTGCATTTTGACTTTCGTCTTCCTCATCATCTTCTCCACCACTCTGATCATCAACATCATTTTCCAGGTTACCAAAGTCGAAGTCTAAGTCATCATCATTCTCATCTTCATCATCATCCATACTAGCTTTTAGTCTGGATTTGATTCTATTTAATTCAGTATCGGAATCCTCACTACCTGTTTCCTCATCACTATCATCTTCATCAATATTACCTAATGCATTCTCATTTTCATCTTCATCAAAACCTTCTAAAATGTCATCCTGTGATTTTTTTTTGCCTTTTTGTGACATTTTGGTCTGCTTTTTAGCTTTTGTTTCATCAACTGGTATTGACTTGTTGTCAATTTCAGCTTTCTCTCTTAGTTTTTCTGCCTTTCTCCTGCAGAAGGATAGTGGTTCTCTGAAATGAACAAAGTACATTAACAGAACAATGTTTTTAAACTAAAGAGATCTGCTCGAAGGTTTAAAAATAATAAGGTGAAGAAGATATAATACCCAGTATTTTCGAAGATCTTTAAAAAATGATCATTACTTGCTTAATTTCACACTATTACATTAGTATAATATATTTGACCACTATTGTAATATAATAATTGTTTGTTTAGTTGCTGATGGTCCACAACTGAATACAGACAGGTCAAGACAGAAATCAATACCTTGCAGAAAGAAAATGAGAAATATTTCAATTTGCATATTTTAACACTCAACTATCACATAATCATTTTTAACCCTGAACGTACCAGGTGTCCAAAGTAAGTTTGTTACCATTCAATGCCCTTACCTCTGGGTTGTGAGTGAGGGAATCTGGGACATAAGTCCATCAACAGTAAAACTGTTCTGTAGTTCCAATTCCTGCCAGATCTGTTCCTCATCAAAGTTCTGTATGATGAGTTCTGGCAGGGAGCTATCTGATGCAGCTCTGCTACCAGACTCTGACGATTTCGAAAGGTCGTAGACACCTTTTGTAGCATCTTTGAACTGTCTGTAAAGTTTTTCTTGGACACTGAAAATATAAGATTATAGTAAGATTGAGTGGTACTGGTCTAAAAGATCTTCCAATTGAAATGGTTATTTGTTATGATACAACTTCTTGTTATTAATGTCAGGCCAAAACAAATTATAGTCTGTTTAGGGTTGCATGGGCAAAAAAACAAGGGTAGGTAGGTCGGATTTTTGTTGTTTTTTTTGTATATTTTTATGTACCTTGTGGTCATGTGATTATGACCCTACTATTGTATGAAAAACAAAGAATTACATAACCAAGGTTCATTTGGAGGCAAATTGTGCTCCATATGATGACATTTAGCACCAACACGGAGCTGGAAGCCATTTTGAAAGGCAAGGAACCTTCTAAAATTCGAAAATCAGCGGGGTTTTGATTTTTTTCATCAAAAAGTTTTGGGTCGGGGGTAAAAAGCTAGGGTCGGTCGGGAACCCTAAACAGACATGTTTCTGGTTTTTTTTGGCCTCATATGCATGCGTACACATGCACTAACACTTCATGTTGACCTTGAAGGTCAATTCATGTTCAACAAATTCAAGCGAAATCTCAAAAGCTGTAAGCTAAATTTCCTAGTACCACATATTATTTAAGCCAATCCTGAAATTATACCTTTAGAACTTGAGAAATGTTATCAGACTATATGAACATGTGCAGAAAAAAAAATCGCAAATTAATTCCATGCAGAGCAGCAACTTGCCTGGACTTGAGAAATGATATCAGACTATATGAACATGTGCAGAAAAAAAAATCACAAATTAATTCCATGCAGAGCAGCAACTTGCCTGGTATGCCACTTTCTAAATTGCACACGGTTTGTGCAGTTTACAATATCAGAGGAAAATGAAGCTGATGAACATATTTTCACTTATTGATATCAACATTACCCTATACAATGTATAGTTTGACATATATAGAAAAAATTAAGAACTAAAGACCGACAAAAAATTAGCTGCTTTCACCCTTCACAGGGCGCTTCAGGTTTTGTGGTATGTATATGGTGCTTCAGGTTTTGTGGTATGTATGGCGCTTCAGGTTTTGTGGTGTGTATGGCGCTTCAGGCTTTGTGGTTTGTATGGCGCTTCAGGTTTTGTTGTATGTATGGCGCTTCAGGTTTTGTTGTTTGTATGGCGCTTCAGGTTTTGTGTTATGTATGGGGCTTCAGGTTTTGTTGGATGTATGGCGCTTCAGGTTTTGTGGTATGTATGGAGCTTCAGGTTTTGTTGGATGTATGGCGCTTCAGGTTTTGCGGTATGTATGGCGCTTCAGATTTTGTGGTATGTATGGCGCTTCAGGTTTTGTGATATGTATGGCGCTTCAGGTTTTGTTGTATGTATGGCGCTTCAGGTTGTGTGGTATGTATGGCGCTTCAGGTTTTGTTGTATGTATGGCGCTTCAGATTTTGTGGTATGTATGGCGCTTCAGGTTTTGTGGGATGTATGGCGCTTCAGGTTTTGTGATATGTATGGCGCTTCAGGTTTTGTGGTATGTATGGCGCTTCAGGTTTTGTTGTTTGTATGGCGCTTCAGGTTTTGTGGTATGTATGGTGCTTCAGGTTTTGTTGGATGTATGGCGCTTCAGGTTTTGTGGTATGTATGGCGCTTCAGGTTTTGTGGTATGTATGGCGCTTCAGGTTTTGTGGTATATATATGACATATATACAAATCAGTCTGTGAAGTATGGATCTATTGTCTATGTAGGTGTTTAATTTGCGTTTTCCTTTATACCCGAGATTGACCTTCCTGTGATTGAATTTTGACAATGCCACTGCAAAACATTTAGAAATTGCTTTAAAATTTAGCACATATACATGTAGTTTGATTAAAGTGGCATAAATAACTTTAAAATAACATCGGTTACAATATATATATTTATGTCCAACTTGCAAAATGTACCTGAATAAACATTTTTTTTATTATAATAATAAAAAATGTTTATATAAATATATTTAGAGAACACAGGAAAAACCAATTATGTTAAAGGTTTTACTTTTTTAAAAGGACAACTGTTTGTGTTCTGTTGGTTAAGAAGGCAGAGACCCAGTTTAGTGTTTCGTTTTGGATACCGTAGTAGTTTAATTTATAGAGCAATCTTTTTATGAGGAACTTTGTCAAAGGCTTTGGCAAAGTCAAACTTAATTAAGTCTGTTTGTGTGTTGCTGTTATTATTTGCTGCAAGTTCTTGAATGAATGAAATGAGTTGCGTTTCACAGGATCTAGACTGACGGAAGCCATACTGGAGGTCATACAGTATATTGTTCTTTTCAAGATGGTTTATGATGTGTTTGGTGATGATATGTTCCGTAAGTTTACAAGAAATACATGTCAATGATATTGGGTGGTAGATTTCTGGCTTATATTTTTCCCCTTTTTTGAATACTGGTGCTACATTTGCATGTTTCCAATCTGTTAGTGTTATGCCAGTTTCAAGTGATGTTTTAAAGATTAGTGTAAGAATCGGAGCTGTTTGATCTTGGAGTGATTTAAATATTCTGCCACTGATGTTAGCTGGGCCACTTGCCTTATGTGGGTTTATGTTGTGCAGTAGTTTCTTGACACCAGCTGGTAATGATATTTCTAGTGGTGTTATCACGGGGTGTGAGCTTGGACCTTTATCTGGGATGCTGTTATTTGATTCAGTTGTAAACACTGATTGGAACCGTGTGTTGAGAATGTCCGCCTTTTGTTTTGTGTCTGCAATTAACTGTCCTTCTTTTTTCAGAGGAGCGACACCTGTGTTATCTGTGCGCAGTGATTTTATGAAGGAAAATAGTTTTTTAGGTTTGGACTAATTGTTACTCTGTTGGTCAGGTTCGTTTATGGGCAAGTCCAATATCATTTTTTTTAAATATAACCCCAGTATGCTAGTCTTTGTTTTTTTTGTACCTGTTTTTTAAGATGTTTGTACTTATCAGCATACTTTATGTTTTGTTTCATCTTATAATATAATTTATTTTTTCTATTTATCATTTTCCTGAGTTTGTTATGAATCCAAGGTAGTCTGTTTTTGTATGTTAGAAACTTGTGTGGGATGTTGTTTTCCACTGATTCAGTAAGATTGGTTTTAAATGTGTTCCACATATCATTTACATTTGTTTTGTCATCTAGGTTTTGTAGCTCATTGTATGTTTTTTCTAGATCTGACTTGATGTTACTCCAGTTGGCTGTGTTATATTTGAATATTTTTTCTAGGTTTTTCTCTCACCCTGCGTAACAAGATGTCAGATTCTACATAGACAATGTCGTGGTCGCTAAGGCCTATTGGTGGTAGTGTACTGACCTTATTTATATTGGATGGATTACTGACAAGTACTAAGTCTAAGATTCTTTCTTTTCGTGTTGGTATGTTCACTATTTGGTGCAAATTATGATCATAAAGTAATTCTAGAAGTGAGTTATGTTGTTCTTGAACTGATTTCCCAGATATTACTTCTGGGACAGCCCAGTCAATGTGGCCAAGATTGAAGTCACCACCTACTAATATATTACTGTTTGATGTTTGATGAATTCTACTTAATGATAAATCTAACTGTTTTATGGAGTTCGCGTCATCTGATGGTGGTCTATAATAACTTCCAACCAGAAGGTTTTTTGCACCTGCTATGTTAATTTGTGCCCAAATGATTTCACACTCAGTTTTAAGTTCTAGGATTTCTGTGCTAATAAATTCTTTTGTGATTGCATGTAATACCCCCTCCCCATAGCTTTGGTTGTTTTTACTGGGTGGTCTATCAGTTCTATAGATGTTATATAGAGATCTGTTGGGAAGTATTCGAACGAGGATGAATTGTTGTCAAGCCAGGTTTCGGTACCAAGTATGATATCTGGTTTTGCAGTGTCTATTAATTGTAAGAGTTCAGTTTTTTTTTATTTTGAATGGACTGAAAATTAATGTTAAGAATTCAAATAGGTTTTCTATTTTTATTTGTAGTGCACTGTTTCTTTTTGTTTTTACATTGTTTAGGTATTGGTGAAGATGTGGCTGTTGGAGCACCTGGGCTCAATGTATCATTCAATGTATCATACAGATTTGATGTTTCAATGGTCGAGTGGTAGAGATGTTGGGCATACCACATTGTATGCATTCCCAGCTGATGTTACTGGCATTCATACAGCCATAGATTTGAGGTGACATACCTTGACAATCAACAGTTCGGGGGAAACCACCAACTTAAATGCGCATAATACGCAAACTCGCCTATTATACGCCAATAGGGGTATGGATTTGTTACTAAAAATAGCCAAAATCACTTGAATCATAACTTTTTCAAATTGTTTGTCCAAGTCGCATTTATTCAGTCATGAAACATAATACAAATGCAAAAATAAACTTTATTTGCATGTGGGAAAGTACCAAAAATAGATGCAATACCTCTGGTAAAGTTACATCAAGTTTCTAAGTAACCAACACTTTCAGTTTCAGTAAACAGCTTTTAGCAAAATATGAATACCTTGCCGTAAATTAATGCGATTTTTAATAACATCTTGCAAAAGTTACTGTTAAAGCGATTTGGGTTATTTTTAGTGACAAATCCATACTCCAACTGGCGTATAATAGGCGAGTTTGCAAATTATACGCAAGTTGTGGTTTTCCCCAACCTGATCATTGTGGTATCAAACAAACAGCTGTCACAACATCGTGCTTTATGTTTCCATGTAACAGTCTTTTGACATGTTCCACATGGCCATCTTGGGGTCCTGTAACCTGGGCTTGTTTCTGGTTTAATATTAGTACTGATATTAATACCTTGCCTCCTCTGCCCCGGCCAATATAAAAAAAAATCGTCGTCAGAAAGCTACGTTATCGCAGCTAGTTTAATATCAGGTTATATCTGACTAATTAATCACCCATGGCTATCTTGTGTGACGGCCATGGTTAGTCCATATCATTAATTATCTAAATAGTGTTCTTACTAATATCCATAAACTCTGTTGACTAGATACCTTTTTTTTATAAAAGTCTACCAAATTTCACAGTTGCATGCCAGTTTGAGCAGAGATGTAGCCCCATCCCCCCGCTCATAAAAATCAAAGCTATCCTAGGCGATGAGTAAAAAAGAAGAAAAAGAAACATCTAAAAGAATTCCACACATCAAGCATTATAAGCGCTTTTAGATTTACCTCAAAAACTCCTCTGGCCGATCTGTCAACTCTAAAAAGTTTTGCAGTGTCTTCGTCACGAGGTTTTCCCAGGGCAGCGCCATATTGGTTTTGGGTAATCCTAAATTCTTCTTACCTTGGATAATTATGATCCGCTACAAAGCGCACTGCAGCGACAACAAGTACTTTGTATGGTACTGTACGACTTGGCCTCGATTTTTACCCAACTGAACAGCTTCCGTTAATCTTACTATTATTTATATAAACAGTTGAACCTTTTTGGAGCAGAGTTGTTATTTTATGAAATACTTTTATTATAGGAAGAGCGGATGGTTAATGCTGCTGTCTCGCACAAAGTTGTCAGACTGTGCTAATTTTGTGCTGTTTTTAACTTGATAGGTCAAATTGATATCAATCATTCTTACAAAACTAATAACAAAATAAAAGGTTTTTTTCATAATGTACAATTTAAATGAAGATCGATCATTACTCAAAGTAATTAATAGAATCCATCCCTGATGTGAGGTATATATATATATATGGATAAGGTAATTTAAACACAATGGATAAAATATTGAGCAAGTGACCCGAGGCTTTGCAAGAAAAGCTTATCGCTCTCGGCTGAAACGGAAGACACACTTGTGAAGGATGAGAGAAAGAAATTTCCTACACCCCTTTCTTACTCTGGACAGTTATACACAAGGAAATGAGAGAAAATAATTTATCTGTTATATGACCATATATATGACTGGGTGGTAGGCCTATCCACGGACTTGGATAACACGGTCTTAGATAATTCCGTGGCCTATCTATGTGTATACAGGAGTAGTAATATGACATGTTAATGGTGTTAACGTTAAATTATCGTATGTTTTAAATACCAAGTTATGTGTTTTGTAACTCATCCTTTCAGTGTTTGGTACGGAGAGTTCAAGACTAATACTCCTAACACTTGAAAGCACAGGCATTTGTTTGTATAAAAAAAAAAAAAAAATCATACCCTACTCATAAAAAACAATGATGAGTAGGGTGTGATTTTTTTGTCAGTATTAATTATTTTTATTGACAGAAACAAATGCCTGTGTTTGAAAGCTAGACTTTTACAAATAGCTGTTATATCAAAGAAGGACACTGACATTTGTTTCACTAAATTATATGAAAATATTTACAATAATTAATAATTATATAGTTCACAAGAATAAGAAGAATACTATGAATCTTCTCGTGAAAATTTGAAGCGACGTTCATTGCAAAATGACTTCTACATATATATACAAGCGAGAGCAAACCTCAGCGAAAATTCTGTTCCAAGAAGACGTGCATTATAAACACAAGTAAAAACATCTATTATACAACAACGTACTTAATTTGTATTCCCCAGTATTTCATTGAGATTTCATAAGGGCAGCATGCGGAAAAAATGCAAGAAATTGTGACAAGGCTATATGCTTTTTACCGAAATACAAAAACTATGCAAATACAAGAGAAATGCTAAAAGAATCCTCTTCCTGTAGGAAAAACAAAACAAAAACACGTATGTGGTAATTACAGGCAAGACTCTAATTGGATAACGTTCCTCCACAGTCACAGTAGGTTTTACTCACTCTCGACTCTCTGGGTATGGGAGGTGGTATCGACTACTAGTGGGTGGCATTCCAACTAAGGATTTCAGTGGTCAATCGGTGTTTAGTTTTAACGTCACGTAACAATGATTTGCGTCGCTTCTTCCATTGTGACGTCATGTTTTATATCATTCATTTCCCCGATCGGAAGCAGAAATAATTCGTATTAATTTTCCAATTAAAGAGAAACATATAAGGTATGTTAGATACAATATAAACGTGATCATGAGGAGTAAAACGAAAAGTCTCCAACACGTGATGATTGGTCATCATATTTATCATACTCTCATTGTTAATTTTCAAATTGTAAAAGTACACTCGTTATGAACTTACCTCGTGTCTCTATGCAATTTTATTAACTAATAGATGTAATTAGTTTAGATCACCATGAAGCCAAACATAATGATAATACTATGCTCGTTGGAGATTTAATTGTGACATGAACGTAAATGACAATATATTATCAAATATTTGTGATGTCTTTGATATCAAAAACACAATTAAATCTCCAACACGCAGCCCTCATCTATTGATGTCATTTTAAGCCACGTACAGTACATCTTTTTTTATTCAATACATTTTCTTTAAACTGCGGTCTTAGTGACTTGCATCATATGATTGGGACTGTTTTTAAAGGGAAATGTAAACCAGGTGTGAAAGAAAAGAGGAAGGTGTTTTAAACATTATGATGAAAAAAAAAATCAGTTACGATATAAATGAAATCCCTTTATGCTTTTAATGATGTTGATGATATTTATTGGGCCCATGAAAAGCATATCACTGACATTATTGATGAACATGCTCCTGTAAAAGAAAAAGTAGTAAAACAGAAAAAGTGTCCATTTTTTAATTCAAATTTGCGTAAAGCTGTGTATAAGAAACGTATGCTTTTTAACAAATATACTGGTTGCAAATCATAAAAAAAGTATGTGTCTAAATTACGTAAACAGTCTAAGCGCAACTCTTTTTTCGAACGCTGTGCAGGTGGTCCCAAATCAAAAGATTTCTGGCCCAACATTAAACCATTTTTATCAAATAAGGGCTCTGCACAATGCAATAATGTAATTTTAAAGGAAAATCAGGCCATTATCAGTGATCAAACAGAGGTCAGCAATGTTTTAAATATTTTTTACGTAAATGTTGCTTCTGATATTGATTCTTCTGATGAAACTATTTTAAAAGAGAATAGGGCACACAATAATGATGAGTCAAAATTTTATTTTAATCATGTTTCTCCTTTCGTGGTGGAAAAGGCTATCTCTAAGGTGAAGTCGAAGAAGGCCAACGGTATCGATGGTATATCTTCAAAACTCCTTAGAGCCTGTTGTACTGACATCAGTGTGCCTCTGAGCGACATGATTAAGCACTGTTTTGATAAATCAGAGTTCCCTTGTAGACTCATGAAGGCACAGGTAGTTCCTGATTTTAAGAAAATAAATATTTTAGATAAACAAAACTACCGACCAGTCAGCATTTTACCTTGTATATCGATTTTTTTTAAAGAACCATGTGTGATCAACTGACTGCCTTTTTCACTAATGTTTTTCATCCTTTCCTTGCAGCCTTCCGACCAGGATTTAGGTGTCAATCCACCCTGATGCGACTTGTTGAGGATTGGCGTAGAGGCCTGGACAACCATGAGTATGTCGCCGACATACTGATGGACCTCTCCAAGGCTTTTGACTGTCTTCCTCATAACTTGTTGGCCGGGATGCTGGAGGCCTATGGCCTGAGCAAAGCCTCCGTTAACCTTGTGTCCAGCTACCTGAGCAGGAGGAAGCAGCAGGTAAAAATTAGCTCTAAATGCGGTGACTGGCTGGAAGTGCTGAAGGGGTACCCCAAGGTTCTATTTTAGGACCCTTGCTTTTTAATGTATTTGTAAATTATATGTTTTATATGTGACATCCTGTAAAGATATAATTATGCAGACGACAACACTGTCAGTGAATCAAATGAAGACCCAGATGTTTTAAAACATAATATTGAAAATGATTGTCAAAATGTAATAGACTGGTTTAAATTAAATCAGATGAAAGCAAACCCTGATAAATTCCAGGCCATTTGTATGGGGACAGGTTCGGTAGATGCTATACAGTCTTTTAGTATTGGCGAAATAGATATTGTTCCTGACAGTGTTATCAAACTTTTAGGTGTGAACTTTGATTCATTTTAAAACTTTGAACCTCATATCTCTGAAATTTATAGAAAGCCTCAAGGCAATTGCCCATTTTAAAGCAATTTGGGAGTTTTTAACCAAATAAGGTAGACTTGTAATATATAATTATTTTATTGTTTCAAATTTTAACTACTCTCCGTTAGTCTGGCACTTTTGTTCCATGAAGAGTGTCAGTAAGCTAGACAAGATGCAAGAAATAACTTTAAGGTTTATACATAATGATCACAACTCATCCTTCAGACACTTACTCAGTATTACCAACAGCGACAGGCTTCATGTAAGGCGTCTGAAGGATATGGGTTGTAAGGTTTTTAAAATTATAAACAAAATGTCTCCTGAATACATTCATAACCTTGTAAATATTAAGATGTCTAATTATGACTTCAAGGAAGAAAATACTGCAGAGGTGCCCAGGATCAACACTGTGAAGTATGGACATAAATCGTTTGCTTTTGAGGCCGCCCGGGTGTGGAACAGTCTCCCAAATGACTTCAGAAAAGTTGAAAACCTCAAAGAATTCAGGAGGCTGGTCCATTCCAGGGATGGCCCTATATGCCTTTGCAATATCTGCAAATAATGATACTTCATACTGTGCCCTGGTTACCTCTGCCACCTGACATTTTGGATTGTGTGATACTATTATTGTCTTATTTCATTTCGTATATGTTTTAATTCTGTTCTATATTTTTGCAGCATCATATTTGTATTTTAATTCTATATATTCTAATTTTTTTTTTTTTACAAAACTTGATAAATTTTGTTAATTGATTTCGGTATCATTTTATAATTCACACTATAATAGTGTATATTCTGTCAATTTTTATTCTTTGCTATATTAGCATTGTATGTATATATTACACTTCATAGTGTTTTAATCCTAAGTCCTAAGTAATTCTTGTGTGATATACAAGTGTTCATTCACTATTAACTATGTCTTTCATTTACTTATTCTGAATACTACTTATTTGTGATCACATTTAATGCTTTTCATATATTAAAACTATTGTTATATACTTTTTGTTTCAAAAGGGTCATATCCCAGGGGCCTTTGTAGGTAGGCGACTCCCAATCACTTAGAAACCTGGGAATTATTACTATTTTTTATTGATATATGTGATTATCCCCCTTTACTTGCAATATAATGTGTTATTGTTATTTTACATGTTTGTCGCAATAATAGCTCTCAAGGGCTAATGTTCCTTGTTTACCTGTATGCGACGTTAAATAAAGTTTCTTGTATCTTGTTGTATCCGATAGTATGGTGGCATATTTCTGCCATCCACTTGCGACTTACGAGTTACGTATATCGACATAATTATTGAAAGATGACGACATAATCTGAGAATATGTCAACATAATCTGAGAAGATGTCGACATAACTGTTGGATTATGTCGACATATTATCCCATTTGCCGAGATAATTTTGCCTATATAATTATCTCGTAAGTGGGTAACTCGGCTTTTTATCGTGTTAATGCTCGGGTGTGACATCGACTTGCCACTTACGACTTATTTATGTCGACATCCTAGTAGATTATTGCCGACTTACCAAAACGAGGCTTGTGCACGAGGACCGCGAAGGTGGGCTGATGGGGACTGAACAGTGGTGACTATACTGGTGAGTAACTTGGGAAAATCAATGTAAATATGGGAAATCAAAGATATGGATATTACAGTAGGTTACTATGATGTACAGAGTTTATCAATCAAAGAGGGATTTTACATAAATAAGTCATAAGTGGCAAGTCGTATGTCGATGTCACACCCGAGCATTAACACGGTAAAAAGCCGAGTTACCCACTTACGAGATAATTATATAGGCAAAATTATCTCGGCAAATGTGATAATATGTCTACATAATCTAACAGTTATGTCGACATCTTTCCATCATTATGTCGACATACGTAACTCGTAAGTCGCAAGTGGATGGCAGAAATATGCCACCATAGTATCCATCACCGTCCGAGAACCTCTATATTCCTGATAAGGTCGCGGATCGGTTAATAGTTTAAACTTGTCCCGTAGATAGATTTAATGACATCGTCCATGTTTGATACATTTTACCTTCTAACGCCACGATATCACAGTGGGTACGCCACCACATTGTTACATGGTCAGAAAAGGGTTCGAACGGTTCTTGAAAATTAAATTTGAGCATTTTCCCCTGATGTACTGATGGCATGACAATAGAGATATTTAACAGCATTGACACTAAATAGTTCTATTTTCAGCGACATTTTAAACATGTTATTTTAAACTTTATTTTATTGATGTTAAATTACAATAGTACATGGTTATAAATACAGAAAAGGATCCAGAAATAAGTACATAGTACTTATGTAAATCCGTCTCCTTATAGACATAACAGCAGCTATGGATCAGTACTGACAATATTATAATTCATGTAAATATATATATATATAGAATAAAAACAAATTTTTCAGATCGTCCGCTAGGCCTTTCTGCCTTCTAGGGCTTCTTCAGGCGGATTGATGTATATATATATATACCCGTTTGTATGTATGTAGTTTGTTTATATATATATATAGAATAAAATAATATATAGAATAGAATAAAAAGCGGACGATCTGAAAAATTTGTTTTTATTCTATATTTTCCTTCGCAAGGACTTATTTATTTATTATCTACTATATATATATATATATATATATATATTAAGTATAACATGTGCAGGGAAAAGAAAGAGAAAGGGTGCAATGATTTATAGTGGGATGGGGATGATGTTTGATGGGGAAGCGATTGGCATCAAAACTGCATTGAGAGAACAAACGCTGATTGCATGAATACAAACGATATTTGACGAAAGAGCACTGTGTCTGTACATGTCGTGGAAAGTGTATGTAGTATGTTATGAAAACAAATTAAAACTACAAATGCAATTCTTAACAGGCACTAATGATCTGTAACACTCTACGCAAACCAATGCGATATGCAAGTAAGTATCACCACAACAAACATGATTACTGATATGAATGAAGTTACATTTTCTTTAAAAACGTCTAGACTGAATGATGAAGTTTTGAACACAGTCAAAAATAGTTTCATTTAAGTGAATTGGTAGTTCGGGTCTACCATAAAGTAAAAAGCTTACATTATAGTTAGGAGGTAGGCGACTAAAACATTGGATTCTCAGCTGCTGGTAGTTAGGACATTGGAGGAGGAAATGTTCTGTATTTTCAGTAGACAAATTACATGAGCACATGGGACTATCAACTAAGTGTGGTGCAAACAGGTGAGTATTCAAGGAGCTACAGTTCATCCTAAGTCGTGCATGATGGATCTGACCTTATCTGCTTCTGCAGTAGTAATAGTGCTGAGGAACAGAGAGAGTCGGCATTTATAATTGTTTTGTGGTTAGTTATTGAGGGATTATATTTTACGTTATCTGGTAAAATACAATCCCTCAATTACTAACCTCAAAAAAATCTAAATCCATGTTAGTAAATCGGCCAGAGCAAAAGTACGTCGACACTATTTTGGAGGAGTTTGTATGATTGGCATGTTTAAATGTTGATACAAAAGCGTAGCAATCGCCATGTCAAATACTGTAATAGAAAGGATGAGTGTCTATAAGGCCCTATTAGGGCCCCGGTATATCCAGATTTTCAATTTTTGCGTACCACCAAATATTTCCTGGTATTACCAGTCTTTATGACTATAAGCCACTCTCGGTGTTTTCAAAGCATGAAATGTTTGGCTTTTGGTCAGCCTAGCATGTCATACGAACCTCTGACTACTATAAACACTCTACTGAGCCCGTTTAATCTACAAACATAAGGAAATATTTTGTGTGAGCAAGGAGATGCACTTTAGTCCTTGTATTCCAAAACACAAGAAAAAGAGTGTTTTTTTTAAGTAAAAGGCATTGTGGGATAAGTAAAAAACTTTCACAAATTAAATGTCATCATATAACTAATATGCATGCTTATCTCAAAATGCCTTTTATGTACAATCAGCGCATAAACATTGGAAATAGGCAGAACAATTGATAAAACAATGAAATGGGAAACAGATACTTTCATTGAAGATAGGAGACTTAAAATTACCAGCAAATAAATATTCATATATTAAACTAATCATTTTACTGTAGTTGTGGTGGCAAATGCATTTTTTTTATTTGGTAAGTTAACTTTGATAAGTAAGAAAACAAATGTATGATATCATTAATATGATATATATATACATGTAAAATATACAACAGTAACTATTACTGTCTTATACTTATAGCAGGTAATGGGTGTCCTGGACCTTTTAATTCACTTAAGATAGAGAGGTATTTGAACTTGCCAAGTTTGAGATGAAACAAAAGGAAAGAGTACTGTAGTGAAAACAAAACACTTTTCATTTCAAAATTATATAAAAGAACATAAAAGAACCCCTTGACTTAATGCTCCGTTTTACTGACTTAATACTCCGTTTTACTGTCATTTTTTCATTCTTTTATATATGCCTGTTGAATTTACATTTGTCTTCAGAAACAGAAATGGTATTACTTTGGTTGTTTTAGCTCATTTTGAAAACAACAAATTATATATTTGTGATTTACCCGACCTCTTTTGGTACCCCAAAACCCCCACTTTCGATCAAACTTTTGCCTTAGATTTTTCGCATGTAATACAATAGGACATCTTTGAACAAGTTTAGGAGATGAAAACCGAATATACGGGGGCCCAAAAAAGAGCCTTATATATATATACTCTCATTTTTTGTGTACTAACCATTGCCGAAAAATTGCTTATTTTTTATTTACTGAAAATGCATTTGTAGTCTTTGAAAAGAATCAAGAAATGTCTCGGATATATAGGAGTAGCTGGATTTTTAAATATCACTGAAAAAAAATCAAAAATTGTACCAATTACAATAATTATAATAACATATGCGCGAAAAAATAACAAAAAGTTTAATTTACATATTTCTTTCTCTGCATTTCCACGTTACGTAGTAGTTTTGAAGCCAGATAAATTTAAATAGTGCCGATAGTATTCGTGTTGTCTCAGAAAAAAATGCCGTTAGCATGCTAGTTTCCAAGAAATCACAATTATTCTAGTTGAAATGTTAATTAATTAATTCTATCGTAAAGAAACATCTTTGATTCATCTTTGATTAAATCAATTCAATTAAATAATTTCATTGCTCATTTATAGTTACAGAATTACTTAAATTGAAGGCAAATAACAAAACAACAAACAATATATAAACTTACACAGAATTAAGGCAGGCCCACACTCCTCACTTCAAATGACTGTTTGATAAATAAGCACGAGTCAAGTATAAGTTGCATATTGCCAGAAGATAAAATATGTGTTACAGTATTTGTGTCTAGTATCACGGGCTTAGATATTAGATCTAATTCCGTGCTAGTATAGAATAGTTTTGAGTATATCTCAGCTGTGCATTATAATAGTCACACCCGAAGAAGAAGTGTTGTTACCAGGTAGGACTTTACCCTCCGGTGTGTTCGCAGTTCCTGGCTTAGTATCAAAATCACATTGTGCACACGAGTGTACTTTGCACATAACTATCATACGTTACTAAATGCTATATATAGACTAAGGGAATTTCCTTTAATATGACGTATGTGTACAGGTATTTGCATATTTACGTCGCCCTGATATAAACAAATAAGAATTTGTAAAGGCATGATGAAAAAATAACGTGTTCACAGAAGTTGATTTGTCGTTAGGTTGTCAAAAGAGACAGCATTGTCGTTTGTTCTGGTCGGTCAAGCAACACAAAGCCACTCCTTTCCCAAGGTCAATGTCACGTACACTTGTGACGTCACAACATTGAATGGTGTTACTTGATCGGGACTGCACGTGATTCTTGTACTTTGGACTATTGACTCATTTTCAATACGACAAACAGGTAGGACTAGGATATAAAGCATAATTTTAACTGACGGATAACAGTTATCACTGGACAGCTGCAAACACACAGGTGAGGTAAGCGAACACACAGGGTTGTGTTCAGGTGCTGGGCACATAATACTGAATACATCTACTGTACTAACATCACGGAAGTCCGTGCTAACATATATCGTACGTATCGAATGTAGGCCTATTTATGTGTATGCGAGACTGACTAGGTTATACTGTTTCCGTGTTTCCAGCAACCGTTGTTTCCTACATAAATTCAGATTACATGTATTGGATTCTTCTTTAGTAATATATGTAACACCACGGACTTAGACTAATCTAATTCCGTGGTAGAGCCTAACACTGTTACGTGTTTTCATTGTCAAATGTGAATACTGCGAAATTATTTCATGATTTCAATATATATGTCCAGCCCATTTCTAATTGAAATGACTTCAATATAAATGATTCCATTGAACTCAAACCTCAATATTTTTGTTATTTTGCAGTGTACTACAGAAGAGTTTATGTACAGGAAAAGCATGATGCAAGACCAGGAGAAGATGTCTGAGGAACACTTTTTCACCCGCCTTGGAAACATTCCTGTGGTGGGTACAACTTGGACCCAGGCCTGGGGCCTCTACCAGAAAACTAAGGACAGTAATACCATCATTCGCTCGACCCTCAACATGGCAGAGTCTGGCATCAAAACTGTGGCTGAGACAACCAAACCCATGGTGGAGAAATATCAGCCTCAGAGTAAGTTACGCACATTTTAAATGTGTGTCTGGTCCCAGTAGCACAAGTTTTTCTGGCTCCAAGTTCCTTGTCTGGTGGTCACAAATCTATCTGTCAAATTGTTAGCAGGCAGATGTCTGGGCCAGATCTCCAAATAGGATACAACTGCAGATTAACAGGACGATTTAACATATTGATGTTTCATCGGGCAATTATAAATTAAACATTAAAAGTTGTTCAGCGTATTGCATTTATGGTGTTGACTAGCTTGAAGTCTCTGTAGGGAACAGTTGAAAAATATTTTATGAATGCTGCATGAATTAATCAATAGGCCTTCATTGTATAAAAAAACCACCTGGTTTAATTAAAATACACATTTAACTTAAGACATGTGTTGCTATGGTAACAGAAGTTGTAGTATGACCAGACATTTTCAAAATCACAGCAAGCGATCTTAACTTTCATTTATGTTGTGTATTTATCAAAATTGTTATTTTCAGTTGAGATTGTGAACAAATATGCTTGTCAACAGCTAGAAAATCTGGAGAAGAATTACCCAGTCATCAATAAGCCAACTGATGAGGTAAGTTTTACTGTTATATAATACTATAAGCTACTACACAATCAGTCATCAGTAAAGCCAACTGATGAAGTTAGTCTTGGATCAAGTTGAAGCATGTCATGGTTTTGCCTTTAAAAGTAGTGATTTTTTAATGTTCTCATTGGGAAAACCCATCTAACAGGTACAACTACTTTGTCTTCAATTAAGAACAAGACATAACTCGATCAAAAATATTCAGGTGGAATATAATATTAAGGTTGTTTTGCTGAAAAGCCAAGGTTTTTGCGCCTGTGAAACTCGAATGATTTGACATCAGGTGGGACCAACAGGACGAATAAAGACAGAGAATACTGAAATGGATCAATTCATTTTAAGATGTGTCTACGAGAAACATGGTAATATTAATTAAAACATACAGTTGAGTACTTTAACAGTTAAGGTACTCAACTGTATGTTGTAATTAATATTACCATGTTTCTCGTAGACACATCTTAAAATAAATAACTGATTATCAAATATAGGATATGTTTACTCAAATTTGTCTGCATTTCAACAGAGATTTAGTGTTAATACTATCTAAGTACTTCTCAAGGTCAGTGATTATAATGTCTAGTCACACAAGGAAGATCTCGTCCTGATTTGACCTATCAGATTAAAGTGACTACACACATTTCAGGAATACACCTGCAGACACTCTATAAGAGTTGCATCAAACGTGCAGTATTTTTATCTATAAACTGATAAACAGTTTGGCTAGATGTGTACAGGTGTGATGCAGTCTGTATGTTTAAATTATCTGTATTAAACTATCGGACTATATTTGTACTCGAGTATATATTTGTACGATAAGGCTTGTCAAGGTCTCGGGTTGGGCAGATTGCCATTTTGATATGTATGATACATATAGGTATGGATTGGGGCGCATAAAGTTTATTCTTAGTAAAAGTAACACAAATGTATATTTCACTTGCATTCACCAGACTTGCTAAACTTGCTGTTTTCCTTTAAAACGTTACTAGTCCTTAACGGGTCAGAGGATTTTGACCAAATTTGGTCTGGACCATCATTGGCCAAAGGGTTCTCAGTTTTGTATACATGGAGGGTATGCCCCCCCCCCCCTGGGGGCAGAGGGGCGGGGCCAAATAGGGGGAAAATCTTATCAACCAATAGAAGAATTTTGACCAAATTTGTTCTAGAGTATCTTTGGACAAAGGAGCATCAATTTGTATAAACGGAGGCTGTGGCCCCTCTGGGGGCGGAGGGGTGTGGCCCTATAGGGGAAATAGAAGAAAATATTTTCCTACTATACAAGTGAAGGGATTTAAACCAAACGCAGTCTGAAGCATGCTTAGGGACAAACAAATCAATTTTGCATAAACTGAGGTGTGTGGACCCCTTTCTATGGGGCAGATGGGTGGGGCCCATTAGGGGAAATAGAGGAAAATATTTCTGAAGCATTATTAGGGGAAAAAAATAAGATTTGTTTAGTTTTTATAAAAAGGTGCATGTGAGGCCCATTAGGGGAAATAGCGGAAAATTGGAAATCTTTCTCCTATTTTTATTAATGAAGGGATTTTCATCAAACTTCTTCTAGAGCATCTTTGTCCAACAAATCAGTTTTATCACATATGAATGTTTTAGATACAAATAAATGAAAAATGTAAGTGAGATGTATTTACCAAGGATAGCTGGGTAAAAGGTACCCCACCCTGGTCTTACTAGTAACCATCCAATGCACATAGTCATACACTTGTGTAACTTACAGAGCAGTATTAAACCACAAGAGGCTTGAAAATCTGTATATAATATAATAACATAGCATGTAACTGTTAGTGTTCATGGAACTTAACCTTGCAAGTCTAGTACATTTCACATGATGTGAAATTAGCAAGCAATGGTTTAGCTTAATTGACCCACAGCTTGGAAAATTATGGGGATTGTGATTATCTGTTGCTTCAGCATAGCACCCAATACACTTAACTGAGTAATTGTAGAATGGATTCCATACTATACCCCTAGTTTACGTATGTAAGAAAATAATCTACAGGTTTGCACTCTGTCCGTCCAACCGTCCTTCAATTCAAGAAGTTTGTCAAACATATCTTCTATACTCTTTCACCTGGAGTACCTGATTTGGTGTGCAAGGACATCTTGGCATGGTGGATATAAGGTCACTATTACCTCACTTAGACCTATGCTTTGACCTTATCTTTTTTTAAAGTTTGTCTGGGGCATATCTTCTATAGTACTGGTATTTTACTTGGAGTAACCAGATTTGGGGTACAAGGACATCTTGGATGGTGGAGTGCAGGGGCAAGAATTAAGTCACTGTGAACTATGACTTGACCTTTGACCTTCACGCTTCAAAATGTTTGTCCGTGGCATATCTTCTGTACTCTTTCACCTGGAGTAACTAGATTTGGTGTACACAGACATCTTTGAGATGACGGAGTGCAGAGTGCAAGAATTAGGTCATTATGACCTATGACTTGACCTTTTCTTTTGAAAAAGTTTGTACGGGGCATATCTTCTATACTATTTCACCTGGCGTATCTAGCTTTTGTGCACAAGGACATCTTGTGAAGATAGAGTGTAAAGTGTAATAATTAGGTCACTATTATGTCACTGTGACCTACACTGTATGCTTCCTGACACAAGTGTACTGTTTATCAAATATAGAAATCATTACCAGTGGGGGACTATGGATTGCCTTGCAATACTTTGCCTTGTTGTCATAAATGTTTATCTGAAATTAAGTATCCTGGTATTAGGTTGATTGAATACACCAATCAGTGAAATTACCATGTATCCTGTTGAACTTTGTATCGGCAGAGCATTGATTGAATATGTGCTCCGATTGGGGAATACAGCAATTACACTAGCTAATAAGTAGTAAACAAATAAATAAATAAATAAATAAATATACAACATTTGATATAGCGCCCTATTTAGCTAACATAAGCCACTCTAAAGTGCTTTACATTACATAGATATACAATTTTATACAGTCAATACAATTAGCATATTAATCAATACAATATTGAGGAATTCGCAGGAGCTGCCTTATAAGGCGCTAACTACTAGTCCTATGCCACCTGGCTAATATCTCCTATATGTGTATGCCTGTGTGTGTGTTGGAGATGTATTGTGTTCTGTTTGTGGTGGGACCGTGCTTCCAACGGTATCATTTATAGTGCCACCTCACTTGAATGCTACAGCACAGATACCGCAACACCCACCCCAGATCATTTTATACTCCACGGGGTTGTTGGAGTTGTGTCAAGTGTGGGCAGGAGTAAAACACTTTCTCTAATGTTCCATGCGTACGGCGATTTAGGGGATCGAACCCCGGCCGCCTGCCTGGAAGGCCGGAGTGTTAACCACTCGACCAATCTGCCCACAAATAACCTAACTTTTTATTCTCATTTGTTTGTTATGGGGATTGATTTTTAAGTTTCATGCGGTCTGTAGGAAATATATGTTTCACTCTCTACCAATCTACCAATAGGCACTTAGTAGCTAGCACTTAGGAGATATTGCAACAGTCATATACTTATGTGTTCAGAGTCCAGTCTTTATTTATGGCAGAAGCATGCACTGAGAGCCAAAAGTTCTCTCTTGAAGCAGTACTTGTGTTTGGTCCTCAGAGGGAAAATACATTTCAGGCTATTGCCAACAAATACATTTAATAAGAATAAGTATCCGTTCACATCTGTTTCAACAAATTTAAATGGTGTTTATCCTGCATTTCAAATGATTGTGCTGTGTTCTTTTTTCCTAAAATGTTATATAGCTATGGCAATAAATGCAACTTCAAAACATGTGTCTGGAGTACTTTCAGTACTTTGATTTTTATTTCGCCTGCATTCAGCAAAGTTTCGATGTTTATAAAATATGTATTGATCTTTAAATTGTGTCTTGAAATGTTCTTTACATAACATATTTTGTTGATAATGATTTTGAATTTAGGCAAAGGGAGGCAATCCTTGTACAGTTTTTAAACAAGGGGAAGCCAAAATGGAGCACCTTGTCTCTTCCTTTGGCTAGTGCATGTATGTGAAGTAAAGTGTTTCCCATTCAATACTCTCCAGAATTGTTTAAAATTCCTGAAAGTATAGAACAAATTATGGACTTTTTGGTTGCAATTTGACTTATGTGATTTTTGTTTTTACAAAAACCCATGGGAAAGATTCTATGTACGACACTTTGTTACACAAACGGCCGCTGCAATATATTAATGATGAGATTTAAGTTTGTATTGAAGATGAACTTGTTTTTATTTTTAACTAAATTCATATGCATGTGTAGTAAGATCATAGGCAAATTGTTTACTCTTCTCAATCAACTGTTCCTTTGTATAACAGTTGGTGGCTGAAGGCAAGGAGTTGGTGCAGCCGACCATCGATCGTGTCAATGCTGTTCGGCAGTATGGCACCGACACCATCAATAAGGCAAGTCTCGCTTGTACTAAAAGTTACTCAACTGGAATGAAGTTCTATTAGATGTACACATTTTTATACAAATATTTATGACTTAAATATTTCCATCTATTATAATAGTTACTTCTGATGTAATCTTATCTGGAGGAATTTCGGAGGTACTTTTTTAAATAAGTTTACACTATATGTTGTGTATGACAAATACTGTCTAGAATTAGTTAGTGATTATTATAGAGCTGACTTCTGTTAATATATGAAATGATCAGGATTACTTATCCTTGTTATTTAAAAAAATCTTTTGTGCTTGACAGGTGGGAGATATGAAACAGATAGGAAAGGACACAGTGTCCAATGTGAAGGACTACAGTCTGATGCAGGTGTCCAAGGCAATGGACACACCTTATGGTCATTTTGTGGCTGACAAGGTCAACACAGCCTTGACCTTGTCTGAAGAATATCTTGACAAGTACCTACCAGAGGAAGATGATGAAAATGATGAGAACGGTAAGGTGCAAGGCATGATTGATTAACAGGATTAAGCATTAATATAAATTCTGATAGAGATGCTTAGTTCTTATTCCATTGGTACAGAAAGAGTAAAATGGCATGTAGTAAGTTCAGTTAAAAAAAGCTTTTCTTTATTATTTTATTTTTGTAAAATGCTTTGATTGGTTTCACCTGCTTTTGATATGTATTCTGTATATTGGAATTTTATTTGTTTTCATTTCAGACTCTGACGAGGCCAAAGAAATGGACGAATACCCACCGAATCCTGTTGGGCGTGCTAAGGATTTGACAACAAAGTTGAGGCGTAGGATGTACAAACGAGCTATGAAGGATTTGAGAAACGTCCAGGTCCGCAGTCAGGAAAATCTGGCCAAACTTAGCTTCACGGTAGACCTGGTAAGTCATAAAAAAGCCTTTACCAACAGTTAAGTGGAAATTCAAGGCAGATCAATAGCATATCTATATAGAGAAGTTGTATGGTCAAAAGAAAATTATACAAAAAGGAAACTGTACAGCAAGGAGGAAGGCTTAGGCTGTTGACTTAAAGCCTTTATGCATGACAAGGAATGCTCGTTTTTTTGCACACCTGAAGTGAATGCATCAAAAAATATATAATTTTAATTTATATCAAGCTGATGTTTAATAAATAGCACATCCAATTCACGCACAAAGTTGCTAAATTTGAAGTTACATTTGAAATAACATAATTAATTGTTTTTGTTCAACTAAATCATGTGCATTAGTGAAATAATGCACAATGCACTTCGGTCTTCAAATCATAGATCATTTGATACTGGGAAGTTTGGCAAACATACATGTAGGATCTTATTCGATGGAAATTAAAAGCTTGATTTAATGTTTTAAGATTGATTATGCCAAAACAAACATGGAGTCTGCTAAAGGGCGAGCAGAGGAGAAGGTTGGAGAACTCCAGACCAAGATGAGCACATTGTGGACAGAGATAAATAAGGAGACATCAGAGTTAGAGGAGGGGGAACTGGTACCTGCAGAGGTAAGTAATGCGTGGCATCCACAGGTCAAACTTTGGTGTTCTGCTATATTCAACAACAAAAATTGAACCAGTAGTTGTAAAAAATCAAACGTTGCAATGTTCAATTATTTTCCATATTGACACTATTTTCAGGAAAATCCAAGAGCTAAGATCTGAATGAATTATAGTCATTTTAAATTTACCTTTTACTCAAAAGAATTTGTTTGATGACATTGAATAAAACTTTTTGCCCTACGACTAAGTTATATATATTTTGCCATGGATTAACTCACCATTGTACTACTTACGTCACACTTCAGCAAAGGGAGTCTCCAAAATCATTTATATATTAGACAAAGCAGAACAAGGAGTCTCCAAAGTATTCTTTATTGATTCGAGTTAATGACAAGATTGGGATGCTATTTGTTAAACAAAAACACATTTCAAGATGAAAATTAAGAAAAATGAATAGGGTACATTGTACATTCATTTAATCAACATTTTCGGGAGAATCTGGTTTAAAAAAAGATCAATGTTATCTTCACTATTCACAGACAATGGAGACCAAATCCATTATCATGGCTCGCCACCTCACCAAACAACTCCGTACCGGACTTTCCACCTTCAGTCACTATGTTCCCGAATCCCTTCAACCTGCTGCTCTACGTGAACGCCTCCAACAGACATACCAGTACACCGAAGACCTCTACTCATACTTCAAAGACGTAAGTTAATGAAAGTGCATCCTAAAAGTCACTAGAAAAAATCTCCATTGATATATTTTCTTACTGTTTGTAATTGTAACATGTTGAAGCCGGCTAATTATTAAGGTGAACCAGTTCCTGCGTCGGAGAATGTTTTTATAGTATTTATCACTTTATAAATGAATACCAGGTAAATAAGTATATGAAGGTAATTGGCTAGAAATCAAAATGCCATATTATGGCCCATATTTTTCCCGAATGAAAAGGTAAATGTACCATCTAAAACAAAAGAAAATCACTGATCAAAACTTTCATTGTCAACAAAATTATCCACAGGTTGCAAAATATGAGGATATGCCCAGCTTAGCACTGACACAGGCCAAAGAAAAGTTGGGGTATCTGCAGTCCACCCTTGGCTTCCTGACAGAAACATTTGTCACCGTCCCACTGAACTGGCTGGTGAGTTATAGCTATAGGCATTGTTACATGTAATTGTTGGGCTTTTTGTGTTGTGAATGTTCTTCCTATTTCTTTAAAGGTTTTCCAACCTCTTTCATTTCTATATATAACATTTGTACACTAAAATAAGTATAGTCCTACAGTACGTGTTCTTTGAAAAAATGGAACAGGGCAGATATCCTATCTGAACCTAACACTGAATAATGAGAATTTCTATACATATTTAACATCCCCCTCCTAATTCTCCCTGCCATGCTAAGAAAAAATTTGAATAATAAATTATTATACACTAACAAGTACTATTAATATATGAATGAATAATCCTGACACTAATACACAACACTGCCATACTAATCCTTTCCTGCTACACTAATGAATATTCATGATACACTAATGAATATTCATTATAAACTTTTTATGAATGATCCTCATACACTTGCCAATAATTTTGGTACTCTTACTGAATAATCATGATTCACAAATGAATAAAATTGATTAAATGCTAATAGATAATCCAAGTATACTGAAGAATAAGCACACACAAAATTAATAATGATGATTTATCTACACTAATGTACAAACATGTGTATTCCCACACACAATCCTCAAATGCATGTACTTCAAATTATCATCTTCATAAGATAAAATTACAATCTTGCTTGTTTTATACGAAAACATGTTGTATGAAAGCACACATCGCCTTCCTTAGAAGTGGGTCTACTGTAAAGTAATTGGATCAACCTCATCAGCTTATTTCCTGTCATATTACATTTCTATTAACTTATGCATGCATAAAGCGATTGAATTTTTTCTAAAGATTAGGATAAGCATTGCCCTGCAAATGTTTGAGAAATACAAATTGCATAATTATTTGGTCTAGTGTTCTGGTAGTTTCATATTGTAATTATCAATAAATGTCTAGCTTTTCTGATTAGTTAAATCAAAAAAAGAAAATCATGAAATTAAATGTTTTTCAATTAAAATGCTCTTGTTTATATACTGGTAGAATTTATTTTATATAAACCATTTTTTATTTATCAGGTTTTTCTGCCAAAAGATGAGAAAGCTGAGAAAATGCAATGATGCATTATACAAACTTTTTGAACACTACATCAAATACGAATGCTTGCCAATTGATGCTTTTCAACAATTCTTTTGGTTATTTTCGAAAAATGTGAAATATGCATTCTGATATGTGTTTGTAAAAACAAAATTACTAGAACAATCAAAGCTGGACTAACCATTGATGGAAATTGATCTGATAGAGTAGGGGAAAGTACAAATCTTCAGTTTAATGTGTCATATTCTTTATGTAAGAAAGAGTTGAATCAGTGTTTTAAACATCTATATAAGACCAAAAAAATAAAATATGTGTGTTTCAGGTATCAAGGCATAACCTAGATTTTCCAGCCCTAGACAAATTTATCACCTACTTGTGTAGATCAAATATTAATTTATTAGCCAGAAAAAGCTTACAGCAGCAAATTAAAATGTACTTCATTTCTGTTATGGAAGTCAAACTCTATTCTATAAACAATTCATGTTAAAATGAAATGAAAATGCCTACCATTACCTACCATATTTTTTTCAAGCATATTGGTTATCTGAAACACACGATTCTTTTGTGGACCAGCAACTATTTATAGTGTAGCATGTGGTTTTCCTGTAAATTATATTATCAGTTTATGATGCTTCTTTTAGTTCAATCAATTTACACCAAGAATTAAGCAATTAACGCCTGTGAGATAAGAAGCTCTAACAGTATAATGGGGGAACTACCGGTGTATTTTATATCTGTTTTAATCTGTGATACAGTTCTATTCATTTGTAGATTTACATATCTACTTATTTGTTTTATTTCAATAAAGTAATTGTTTCCTGCATGGTCTGTTGTACTGTGTATTCTGTGTTCGTAACGCTACCATCTTGCCAGCAATCTCTATGTTCCTGTGCATTGGACACTTGCGCTTGTAAGATCCTGATTTACTCCTTAGAAGTTTTTGCAATTACAGGACTTTCAAGTTGACCCGTGATATTACGCAATTTCAGAAGTTGAAACAGATTTTCCCTGATTTTTAGAGAGTCAAATCTGATTGAATTATTATGTCAGAAAGACATGTACATTAAAACCCAAGCCAAGCTCATTTTGGAGAGACCAAAACATATTCTCAAGGGTCAACTGAAAGTCCTGTAAATATACTTCATGTTAATGAAACTGAAGTAGGTAGGCTTTGTTCTATGCTCTCAAAATTGTTTTATATTGATATGTTTTTTATATTTGCATGCATGAATGTTTAAAAATTGGTCACTCACAAAACACAAAGTGATTTGCATCTAAATCCAGCTTCCTCACCTTCGGTAAAAAAAGTGTGCTTCATAGAATTAAAAGTTATCAGCGAGACTGCTTCATAGAATTAAAAGTTATCAGCGAGACCAAAGGTCAAGTTTCATTAGCAACTATCAATTAACACCAATGTGTATTTGGGCACTGCCCGAGTTCAACAATGAAAAAATTATTGTAAAGGCAAGCTTGTCAGCTAAAATGCATCAGCATCTAAGAGATCGTGTATAATCTGATGTCATAACCGTGGTCAATGTAATTTGTTCATAATAACCGAGTTCATTATCAGAACAAACTCCAAAGCACCACAGATGAATTCTGAAGAAATTGAACAGGTATTGTGACCTTCGGTGAAACCTTATGATGCCTGTTATATATACATTACATATAAACTATGTTCACCTCGCCAAAATATATCGGTGTTGTTTTCTCTTTAATTTGGAATGGGCCCTTTTTGTCTCATTTTGGAAAGAAAATATATCATTTATGAAGAAAATGTTCAGGAGTGAACAGCAAAATTTAGAAATTATGCATAAAAATGAAAAAGTTTCAGTTGGGAATAGGACCCATTATTGACCCAAAAAAGTCCCAGGAAAACAATGTCAATGGTTACATTTCATTTTCATTGACCTATATGCCTCCCTCAATTCACCATAATCCATTATAAAGCCATTATTTAGCTGGACAATCAATGTATAATGATCGAGGTCACGCTGTATAGTTTAACTTAGAACTACAAAAATGTTCTAGCACTTGACTAACCCAATACATGTGGCAGTAATAAATAAGTATTAAATATTTATTGTACTAACAATAGACAACACAGTAATGTTCCAAATTTAACAAGCCCATCCTAAATCATATAACACAATAGTTTTAAACTACTAAGTACTAAATCAGTCTACCTAGGAGTATTAAAGTACTAATAATTACCTGTATACTACTCTATACTACATCAATCTGCAGAGGAGCATTCCAGTACTGAGTATCACCATTATATGAAAATTATACTCTACCAGGATATAATAACTATACCATACATTACCAGTATATTATAACTATACCATACACTACCACTATATAATATCTATACCATACACTACCAGTATATAATAACTATACCATACATTACCAGTATATAATAACTATACCATACACTACCAGTATATAATATCTATACCATACACTACCAGTATATAATACCTATATCATACACAACCAGTATATAATAACTATACCATACGCTACCAGTATATAATAAATATACCATACACTACCAGTATATAATAACTATACCATACATTACCAGTATATAATAACTATACCATACACTACCAGTATATAATAACTATACCATACACTACCAGTATATAATAACTATACCATACACTACCAGTATATAATAACTATACCATACACTACCAGTATATAATAACTATACCATACACTACCAGTATATAATAACTATACCATACACTACCAGTATATAATAACTATACCATACACTACCAGTATATAATAACTATACCATACACTACCAGTATATAATAACTATACCATACACTACCAGTATATAATAACTATACCATACACTACCAGTATATAATAACTATACCATACACTACCAGTATATAATAACTATACCATACACTACCAGTATATAATAACTATACCATACACTACCAGTATATAATAACTATACCATACACTACCAGTATATAATAACTATACCATACACTACCAGTATATAATAACTATACCATACACTACCAGTATATAATAACTATACCATACACTACCAGTATATAATAACTATACCATACACTACCAGTATATAATAACTATACCATACACTACCAGTATATAATAACTATACCATACACTACCAGTATATAATAACTATACCATACACTACCAGTATATAATAACTATACCATACACTACCAGTATATAATAACTATACCATACACTACCAGTATATAATAACTATACCATACACTACCAGTATATAATAACTATACCATACACTACCAGTATATAATAACTATACCATACACTACCAGTATATAATAACTATACCATACACTACCAGTATATAATAACTATACCATACACTACCAGTATATAATAACTATACCATACACTACCAGTATATAATAACTATACCATACACTACCAGTATATAATAACTATACCATACACTACCAGTATATAATAACTATACCATACACTACCAGTATATAATAACTATACCATACACTACCAGTATATAATAACTATACCATACACTACCAGTATATAATAACTATACCATACACTACCAGTATATAATAACTATACCATACACTACCAGTATATAATAACTATACCATACACTACCAGTATATAATAACTATACCATACACTACCAGTATATAATAACTATACCATACACTACCAGTATATAATAACTATACCATACACTACCAGTATATAATAACTATACCATACACTACCAGTATATAATAACTATACCATACACTACCAGTATATAATAACTATACCATACACTACCAGTATATAATAACTATACCATACACTACCAGTATATAATAACTATACCATACACTACCAGTATATAATAACTATACCATACACTACCAGTATATAATAACTATACCATACACTACCAGTATATAATAACTATACCATACACTACCAGTATATAATAACTATACCATACACTACCAGTATATAATAACTATACCATACACTACCAGTATATAATAACTATACCATACACTACCAGTATATAATAACTATACCATACACTACCAGTATATAATAACTATACCATACACTACCAGTATATAATAACTATACCATACACTACCAGTATATAATAACTATACCATACACTACCAGTATATAATAACTATACCATACACTACCAGTATATAATAACTATACCATACACTACCAGTATATAATAACTATACCATACACTACCAGTATATAATAACTATACCATACACTACCAGTATATAATAACTATACCATACACTACCAGTATATAATAACTATACCATACACTACCAGTATATAATAACTATACCATACACTACCAGTATATAATAACTATACCATACACTACCAGTATATAATAACTATACCATACACTACCAGTATATAATAACTATACCATACACTACCAGTATATAATAACTATACCATACACTACCAGTATATAATAACTATACCATACACTACCAGTATATAATAACTATACCATACACTACCAGTATATAATAACTATACCATACACTACCAGTATATAATAACTATACCATACACTACCAGTATATAATAACTATACCATACACTACCAGTATATAATAACTATACCATACACTACCAGTATATAATAACTATACCATACACTACCAGTATATAATAACTATACCATACACTACCAGTATATAATAACTATACCATACACTACCAGTATATAATAACTATACCATACACTACCAGTATATAATAACTATACCATACACTACCAGTATATAATAACTATACCATACACTACCAGTATATAATAACTATACCATACACTACCAGTATATAATAACTATACCATACACTACCAGTATATAATAACTATACCATACACTACCAGTATATAATAACTATACCATACACTACCAGTATATAATAACTATACCATACACTACCAGTATATAATAACTATACCATACACTACCAGTATATAATAACTATACCATACACTACCAGTATATAATAACTATACCATACACTACCAGTATATAATAACTATACCATACACTACCAGTATATAATAACTATACCATACACTACCAGTATATAATAACTATACCATACACTACCAGTATATAATAACTATACCATACACTACCAGTATATAATAACTATACCATACACTACCAGTATATAATAACTATACCATACACTACCAGTATATAATAACTATACCATACACTACCAGTATATAATAACTATACCATACACTACCAGTATATAATAACTAAACCATACATTACCAGTATATAATAACTATACTATACACTACCAGTAAATAATAACTATACCATACACTACCAGTATATAATAACTAAACCATACACTACCAGTATATATTAACTTTACCATACACTACCAGTATATCATAACTATACCATACACTACCAGTATATAATAACTAAACCATACACTACCAGTATATAATAACTATACCTACACTACCAGTATATCATAACTATACCATACACTACCAGTATATATACTAATTATACCATATCAGTATGTAATGATTATACCATACTATGCTATACTAAATCATTCTACTCTAGAGTATTGGAGTACTAGTACTGGTTATTGGTGCATGATCAATATCACAAATGTCAGCTTCCATATCCCCTCGACAATGAGTGTTGTGGTACAAGGTCACGGCCATACAGATCAAATTAAATACTTTTTAATGAAAAACATTGCATAATATCATGAACACTGAATGGATTGATATGAAGCTGCAAGACTGGGTCACAAAATAAAAAATTAATATCTTAATAGGAATCATTGTACTTCTAAAATAATTTGTGTTGGCATAGATGCTTTTTAGAGTGCAATTCCTCCATGGGTCAAGACAAGGTCAAATATGATAGCATCATGGTTAGTATTACAACATAATATTTTGAAGTAGTATTGTAGTGATAGATACAGTACCAGGAGTCCTTTGATGCAAGGTGAAGGTCAAAAGGCCAAGTATATATAGATGTATGACCGTGAAGAAATCATAAAATATTCCTTTTTATGAATATTGTTGGGATTTATGCTAAGTGTCTTTTTGGTGTATGGTGAAGGTGTAATGGTCAAAGGTCAATGTCAAAAACTCAAGTCTGTACAACAAAAATCAAAGGTCTACAGCTTTGCACAGGTCAAATTTCGATGCATTAAAACTTGTGTAATGCAAGTGTATATCACAAATAACATCACTTAAGAAGACCTATCATTTATTAGCTCACCTGGTCCGAAGGACCATAGTTAGCTTATGCTGTGGCGCATCGTCCGTCTTAAACTTTTCTTTGAAACCTATCTCCTCCTAAACGCCAAAGAGGATTTCAACCAAATTTAGTCTGAAGCATCAGTAGGGGAGAGCAATCATTTCTTAAATAAATAAATGAAGTTGGTGAATACAGTGGTACCATTTTAGAGAAATAATAACAACCATATGTAGATAAGCATTCATTGCAAAAAATCCATGGTAACCTGCTCATTATTTACAGGATTTTTGTATTATGGGCCATAATCCACATCTCTTTGATTTCATTCAAACTTGGGTCAGATTGTCTAATTTCACCCTGTAATATGACATATTACTTATTTCAAAATCTGTTAACATGGCAACTCAATGGAGGCCCCTGATTAGTTGGAAGTTAGATATTGTGGTCCCAGTTCGGTGAGAAAATAGATCTTGTCTGGTTTTGAGGAAATTTCATTTTAAGATGTACTAATGCATTCAGTTGTAACAACTAATATATAAAACCAGGTGAGCGATACAGGTCCAATGGACCTCGTTACTTTTTTGCGTAGCTGCAGGGTCAAGACTTGGCGGTAGATGCAGAACTTGACAAAATCACTGACATTATCAATGTTTCTTTGCCTCACTACAGGGCCCTGACCTTAATGTAGAAGTAGACCTACAAGACATCGCTGAAGAAGACCATTACTAAACACTATTTTGCCATCACTACAGGAACCGGATGTGGCAGTAGAGGTAGACCTTGGAGATATTGCTGTTGACAATCCTGAACCCGTTGATGCCACCGATTGTAATGGACATATCCCAGGAGCAGACACATCCGACAGTCCAGCCAATCCATGAAAGTGATCACTACACAGGTTATGAACAGATCTATAACACACTTAACTATATCCCATCTATAATGGACTTTCTACATGTCTGACAATTTGTCACAATATGAGAATTTTGACCTTGAGTAAGGACCTGTTTTCCACTGAATTCATTGTGCATTAATGACTCAAAGGTTACTATTTATATGATATAGTAGAGCCTTTCTGAAGTCGGTGATATTTTTAGGGGAGCTAGCTGATATATATAGCCATGCAATTAATTTAAGTGCCTTCGAGATAATATGTGGAATTTGATCGAACTGAAAATATGGTATCTGCTAATCAATCGGCGAAATATATTTGTGTAGGAAAATAGAAGACCTTGAAATTGTTAAATCTATATTACAACTAAACTTACAATAAAATCTAAATCTAGGATATTTTGAACCACTCAAAACCTGTTAATGAATGGCATTTTGGACATTAAAGGATGTTTATAAAGATTGCTTATAAATTACAACCAGGAAATACAAGCACAATCAGTTTAATTGTTTGGGGATATTTAAACTTGTAAGATAATTTAGACCCATTGTTTTTTCTGTTACTTTTGTTGTTCAACATTGATGTTGTAATATTTGTTGTTTGACACAAGTTCTTGGCTAGATGAATTTATTAATACATTTCAATTATCATTAAAGGGATGAATATCTAATCAAGGGAAAATGAAAATGACAGCATTATTTACCAATAGGTGCAGTAGTAACAATATGGTAGATCCTTTTCATTCAAGATCAAAGGGTTGACAATTGCATTAATGCAACTACATCTTCTAAATTTCGATCAGTGATTCAGCTCTCCAGATACTGAAAATGACTTTATAGTCAATGAAAAATATGCATCAATATTGTTTTCGTACTACTCTATGTAAAAATCTGTCTTTGTGCAATAAACAATCCAATACATTGTAGATGATTGTGTTCTTGTTGTTTCTGGTCTCCACATTCGGTTGTTTGTAATTATCAGTCACTTTCCTAGAGCAGATGACACTGTCCATCTATCAGCAAGCACAAAATGCTGTGAAAAACACGAGATTCTGTTAGCAAAATGTCTGTATTACATGTACATATTTGTCTTAAAGTCAATAAGATATTAGTACAAATTGCTGTTATCCAAAATAAATATACAGTGACCTCCCCATAATTTCGTTTTGGCTATAACTGTGGCACGGTTAGGCCAGGTATCTCAAACTGAAGTCAGGGGTTCAAATCACGGTCTAGCCACAGTGGCTTTTTACACACTGAACACTGTTGTTTGTTATATTTAGTTTATTTATTGCATCATTATTTTTAGGTCACCTGAGCAAAATGGACGCTACTGCCGCAATTTTGTACAACTATTTCAAACTTTAAGTAAAGGTCCACTGGACTGATTTAATTGAAACTTGGTAAGAATGACGAAGTGCTGTTTTGGATCGATCAGAAATCCAATATGGCCACTATTTTGAAAATAACTATTCAAAACTTAAAAGTCCAGTCTTACTGATCAACTCATGGTCCTGGCCAAGTGTTTTTTTCTTTCTTTTTCAGGCCCATCAAAAATCCAATATGGCCTGCCATTTTGAAAAAAACTATTTCAAACTTAAAATCAAGTTCTAATAGGCCGATTTAATTGAAACTCGGTCTAGGAATGATCAAGTCATGGTCATGACAAACTTAACTTGACCTTATACTTAACTATTTTTTACTCAAATTGGTAGGGATGATTGACATCATTATCTCCACTTCATATTTCAACAACAAAAATAAATACTGTAAGACTCAGGTGACCTTTAAGGCCCATGGGCCTCTTGTTTATTTATTTAAGTCCTGCAGGGTATGGTTTCTTTTCAAAATGATGTTATAGTTATGGCAGTGGTACAGACATCCTTTACACTTCACCCTTTAAATAATACACCGAATTATAATTGCCCCATCTGTTTCATATTTTGCGGGTGCATCAATTCACCAATATGCTAGTCAGTTAAACTCTACAGTATTATGAAGGTATACTTTATTTATGTTACAGGTATGACTACTTAGCAGTCGTATTTAAAAAAAAAATCAATTCTGATTTTTTAAATTGGATGTTGGTTTAAGCCTAGGCTTCTGCGGTAAATATGTCAAGAAATAGTCATTTTTGAAAATCTCTGAACAGGGAACGAAATATATTTGAATACCCGAGAGGAATTTTTAAATATATTTTAAGCGAGACATCTCAGGTCATTTATACATTAACACAAACAACAGAATGTTGCTCACATTACTCAAACAACTTTTACACAACACTACATGTCTGCAACTACAAAATTGTACTTGGTAAGCAAAGGAAGAATATGTTTCATGGATACCACACTTAAGGAGTTGTTTCTCTTCATTTTATTTCTTATCTTTACAAAACAATGTTTTAACACATTACACAGACAATTTTTATATTTGTTTAACATTTTAATTTTGTCCAATCAGCTGACGGCCTTTAACTCGACCTCAAACACAAGTGTACTATTAGGGGGTATTGGCCCTGTTCTCTGGTTCCCATATCTGCAACAAGAAGGAAAGATAAATAATGACAATTGTCAGTGATAGAAAACAACAATACATTTCAATACAAAAGAAATTTAATTATGATTTTATAATGAAGAAACACAGTATCTATGGACAGTGTTGTAAAATATCTATAGTTTCGGAAATTGATCAGTTTGAACAGTGATTTCCATATAGTTTATAGATGCTGTGGTTGCATTAACCCAACTTGATATTGATCAAAATAAGCAAAACACGGGACTACGTATACCAAATAAAGGACTTTCTTGGAAAGGCTATTTCTATCACAGGTCTGTTTTATTATAAAATTATCTTACGCTTGTTGTGGAGGCACTGTCAGTTTTCTTGTCCCTCCAACTTTCATACCTGTGGAGAAATTATTTTTATTACCACGTATTTTAATATAAAGACAAACTCATTCTTTAACAAATGCATGCAAACCCTCAAGACCCCCTACTTTGATGGGAGACTCGCACTACTTTGAGGGGAGACTCCCTCTACTTTGATGGGAGACTCGCCCTACTTTGAGGGGTGACTCGCCCTACTTTGAGGGAAGACTCGCACTACTTGGAGGGGAGACTCCCTCTACTTTGATGGGAGACTCGCTCTACTTTGATGGGAGACTCGCCCTACTTTGAGGGGAGACTCGCCCTACCTTGAGGGGAGACTCGCCCTACTTTGAGGGGAGACTCGCCCTACTTTGAGGGGAGACTCCCCCTACTTTGATGGGAGATTCCGTCTACTTTGAGGGGAGACTCCCTCTACTTTGATGGGAGACTCGCTCTACTTTGATGGGAGACTCCCCCTACTTTGAGGGGAGACTCCCCCTACTTTGATGGGAGATTCCGTCTACTTTGAGGGGAGACTCCCTCTACTTTGATGGGAGATTCCCTCTACTTTGAGGGGAGACTCCCTCTACTTTGATGGGAGACTCCCTCTACTTTGAGGGGAGACTCCCTCTACTTTGAGGGGAGACTCCCTCTACTTTGATGGGAGACTCCCGCTACTTTGAGGGGAGACTCCCTCTACTTTGATGGGGAGATTCCCACTACTTTGAGGGGAGACTCCCCCTATTTTGAGGGGAGACTCCCCCTACTTTGAGGGGAGACTCCCACTACTCTGAGGGGAGACTCCCACTACTTTGAGGGGAGACTCGCCCTACTTTGATGGGAGACTCCCGCTACTTTGAGGGGAGACTCCCTCTACTTTGATGGGGAGATTCCCACTACTTTGAGGGGAGCCTCCCCCTACTCTGAGGGGAGACTCCCTCTACTCTGAGGGGAGACTCCCCCTACTTTGAGGGGAGACTCCCCCTACTTTGAGGGGAGACTCCCCCTACTCTGAGGGGAGACTCCCCCTACTCTGAGGGGAGACTCCCACTACTCTGAGGGGAGACTCCCCCTACTCTGAGGGGAGACTCCCCCTACTTTGAGGGGAGACTCCCCCTACTTTGAGAGGAGACTCCCCCTACTCTGAGGGGGAGACTCCCACTACTCTGAGGGGAGACTCGCCCTACTTTGATGGGAGACTCCCACTACTTTGAAGGGAGACTCCCACTACTTTGAGGGGAGACTCGCCCTACTTTGATGGGAGACTCCCACTACTTTGATGGGAGACTCCCACTACTTTGAGGGGAAACTCCCCCTACTTTGAGGGGAGACTCGCCCTACTTTGAGGGGAGACTCCCACTACTCTGAGGGGGAGACTCCCACTACTCTGAGGGGAGACTCCCACTACTCTGAGGGGAGACTCCCACTACTTTGAGGGGAGACTCGCCCTACTTTGAGGGGAGACTCGCCCTACTTTGAAGGGAGACTCCCACTACTTTGAGGGGAGACTCGCCCTACTTTGAGGGGAGACTCGCCCTACTTTGATGGGAGACTCCCACTACTTTGATGGGAGACTCCCACTACTTTGAGGGGAAACTCCCCCTACTTTGAGGGGAGACTCGCCCTACTTTGAGGGGAGAGTCCCACTACTTTGAGGGGAGACTCTCCCTACTTTGAGGGGAGACTCCCCCTACTCTGAGGGGAGACTCCCACTTTTTCACCCTCATTTTAGACTTTTAAGCTAGTAGAACTCCCTACATCTTGCTTTTTGCTCCCAATCAAATAATTAACTCCATGTAACACTTTATTAACTTTAAACATTTTTGGATTTCTTTAACAATTCTATAATTATGTACATGTATTTTCTACAGGCAATAAGTATGTCACATTAGATATATTATGACTTTTTGTGACAAATGCATATTCCTTCATTATATCCAGACAAGTCAGAGTCATCGGTTGAAAATGTGCTTGCTTATAGATAGATCGCTCGTCTGATATCCCTGATGATACTGACAATGTAAAAGGTTAGCAAATTACGTCCTTACACCTTTAATTATTCACCGAACACACCTTCAGTTATTAACTTCAAGTCAATTAAACTCTAAACAAATCTTCAGTTATTCACTTGAATCAACTGCAGTTACTCACGAGCTACACCCCCAGTTACCAACTTAATCACTAGTTACTCACCAATTACACCTCCAGTTACCAACTTAATCACCAGTTACTCACCAATTACACCTCCAGTTACCAACTTAAAAACCAGTTACTCACCAACTACACCCCCAGTTACCAACTTAATCACCAATAACACCTCCAGTTACCAACTTAATCACTAGTTACTCACCAATTACACCCCCAGTTACCAACTTAATCACTAGTTACTCACCAATTACACCTTCAGTTACCAACTTAATCACTAGTTACTCACCAACTACACCCCCAGTTACTTGTAATGACACACCTCTATTTTGTCTCCGACTATAATGTATGGTTAACTTACCAACCACACCATTGTCCCATCCACTGATCACCTCCTTTTTGCCGAGTCGGAACCTGAAAGGTTTACCACCAGTACAGGAATCAAACTGTTTACCATTCTTAGCTAGTGTCCCTTTGTAGTATACATGTGCCTGAAAAACATAATTATAAGTTTGGCTATTTTCTTAACACAGCCGTCCTTAAATGACCATAGCTGTTGATAGGATGTTAAACAATACTAAACTAAACCAAATCTTCACACAGTGCACCTTCTGTATTTTTTTTATAATTAAATAGTAACTATTTACATAATTCTCTATGAAACAGTTTTTTTTCTTGAATAATGGGCAAATAATAGCCTCTTTATACAGAATTGTTTAAAGGCAAAGCAGATCATTTTTCTTACATTCCTGATCGAACCTACCGTAATATTCTTGTTAGAAAGCAATATATTTCTTTGTTCTATCTATATTCATATTTTTTCCCCTCACATTTTAAAGTTTAAGTTTTAAGGTCTATCTGCAAAACATTTGTACAAATGTCAAATATATAAAGACATGGACAATTTGTGTATTAAAACAAGAGACCAAAGGGGCATGAAGATGCTCACTTGTCAATGTGTTTTTCCTTTTCACAAACTTCCTGCCACTACCTTTCAGAAAACTAGCAAGTGGCTAAATACCATGACTCAAGGCACTTTAAATTCTTTAGAAGTTTATAAAAAAATAAGAAATATAGCAAATTTGACCCATGTGGTCTAAAATATTGGCCATGATCATTTGTTTTTTTTCAAATGTTGTAGTAATACATGCCAGCAAGCAACTAGACAAATTTCATAACTCTATGCTTTTTGTTCTATAGAATAACAGATTTGACCCATCTGACCTTGAATAAATGTAAAGATTATTTCTTTTTCCAAACTTTGAGGTACTTGAAGCAACTACTAGCTTAGACCTCTTGGTATAGACCTCTTGGTATTTTAGAAGAAGCTGTTTTACTAATTGAACAGAATAGACCCCTGTGAACCCAAATTTTATCCCTTCTTGGCCCTTTATGAGCCTCCAAAAAAGCCTCCATAAGGGACCAGTCTCCTTTCTTCTCACAGATAGGAATCACTATCATCTAGGGAAACTTCCTAACAAATTTGGTTGTAATTGCCTTGTGATCCTATTGAAGAGGTTCAAAGAAAAAGCTTAGGGATGGACAGCAAATGCATTGCATTATCAAAATATCAGATTAAATCAATAAGAAATGGACGAATTTATTTTCATGTTAATGAACAGAAACACACATAACTAGCAGTGTTTGTCAAATGTTTACCATTTTCCCTCTCTTGGCTTCTAGCCCATGACCAACTTTGATTTCTTCACTGATAGTGCCGCCAGCTAAAACAGCCTTCTTGGGCGTCTTGACCTAAAATTCACAAAAGAAAACATTCTTTGTTTTCAATTATTCCATATCCGTTTGAAAGGATGGATAAAGGACAGACAACCTCTGAGAACACCATGTGACAGTTATATTCACATAATTATTGTGGAGCACTTACAAGTAAAGTATACATAATTTAGATGTCAAATAAAATAATGACGTCGTATAAATAGTACACATATGGTGATGTCATACAAATATTAGAATGATTGTACTTGTATTAAGCGGATCAATGTATTGGTACTGTATACAGAAACAAGAGGCCCATGGGCCTTAACGGTTACCTGATATATTTATACAGAGAGTTGATTTTGTTTTTAACATGAACAGAAATATTATTCAAAGTGACAAAAAACAATAAAACCACCTTACTCAATATCTAGCATACAGATTTCAGACTGAAAAGGATTTGAAACTAGCACCTCTGATTCTTAACAAGGAAAATGAAGAAATTTT